GTCTTATATGTCTTTCTACTCTTCTTCTGGTCTATATTTTTCCTTTCTTATTTTTTTTTCCTTGTATTTTTGAGTTTTTCTTCATCGTTATTTGTTTTCAAATTGTTCTTCTTTATTGTCTTCATCTTTTTTTACTTCTTATTTGTCTTCATTTTTTCATCATATTTACCTTTTTCTAATTTGTCTTCTTCATCTTCTAGTTTTCTTCCTTTTTATTATTTTTTTCTTTCACTCCGTCTACTATCTACTGGTTTTCTTCTATGACTTCTTCTTCTGATTATCTTTTTTTTCTTCTCCAATTGGTCATTTGATTTTTTTGTTCATCGTCTTCGACCTATCCGAATTTTTTTTTATCTTACTTGTTCACTGTATTAATTTTTGTTCATATTTTTATTGTTTTCTTATTCTTCTCCTTTTTCTTTATTTTTTTAGCCTTTCATATTCTTTGTTTTTTTCTTCTTATCTTTTATTATTTTTGACTATTTCATCTTATGTATTGTATTCATCTTATTTGACTTCTTAATTTTTTTTTATTCGGTTTTTCTTTGTTTTTTCTGTTGATTTTCTTTGTTTTATTTGTCTGCCCCATCTTCTTTGCTTTCTTTTATTGTCATTGTATTCTCTAAATTCTTATTCTTCCACATCTTTTATTCTTCTTCTTTTGGTTTTATTAGTCATTTTTATCTTCTGCTTCTTACTTCTTCTTGGTCATTTTTTTATCCAAACTTTTTTTCTAATTTTTGTTTGTCTTTTTCACATCTTTACTTTCTTCTATTTTTTCTTTTGCATCTTCGGGTTTTCATCTTCTTGTACTCTATTTTCTTCATCTACCGTTTTTTTTCTTCTTTTATTTTGATAATTTGTATGAAAATAACAGCAAAATTGTTATACAAATTATGAATATAAATTAATTAATTAAGGATATTTAAAAATATTTTATTAAAGAATAAAGAGTAATTAGTCACTTAAATTGAATGAGAGAGCTTATAGCGAAAAAATTACTGTGCATATATTATATATGATATAATTTTAAATGTTTTTTTATTAAATTCCAATTTTTATTATTTGTTTATTTTCTATTTTAAAGATTTTTTGATTAAATTTTGTTTTTAATAATTTTTATTAAATTTTAAATTTTTTTTATTAAATTCCGATTTTAAATAATTTTTTATTAATTTTACAATTTTTCATAATTTTTAATTAATTTACTTTTTTAATATTTTTTAATTAATTTACGATTTTTAATAATTTTTATTAAATTTAAATTTAAAAAATATAAGAAGAGGTAAAGAGTAATTAGCCACACTAAGATTGAATGAGAGAGCTTTGACTCAAAATTTTACTTTGCTTATAATATATATGATTAAGTTATGTCCACGTAGGATAATTAGGTCTGATGTGCATGATGATTCACGTTCATGATGGCATTGTGTGTTTTTCCATTACAATTAAATAAATTCAACAATTTTAGTATGTTTGGATAATGATGCAAAGCAACCATATTCGTGGTCGGGTTTTTTAAACTAAAAAACTATTTGGATAGTCGTAGGATGAGTGGATGACGTATGCTACTTAATTACCTGATTGGTATTATATATTGACCATATAATATTAGCATAATAAATTTAACATGTAATTTATTTAGTGGCTGAAGCAAAACCACAAAATTCATTTATAACCTTCACACAATTTCTTAAGAAATGTTATAATGTTACAAAACATAACTATACCATTTTTGTTTGGTTTTAGTTCATCTTAAATAGCGTCATAACTCATCATAACTTCATAAGACACAGTTCCACCTAAGATTACAATTCAAACTAACAAGTCACTAAAAACAATTGGGTGAAGCTTAATTGTTTGTTATTCAACAATTTGAGCAAAATGTTCATCTGACTTTTTAAATTATCTATACTTTACAGCTACAAATTTTCTAATCGAATATATATATATATATATATATATATATATATATAAATTTTAGAATTTATGAACAAAACCATGTATTTTTGCCATTTAAAACGTGTATAATAACTAGTTGCAACTGAAATCGTGAACAAAATTTGTGTTTCGAACTTTCAACTAACTCCTTATTCCGAGCTATATTAGGTTGGTTTCTAACTTAATTGTCCAGAACATCTACATTTTTGTAAGGATATATTTTTTTTTGACAAAAACAATATGTTAGAGTTTATATATAAGATGTATGATAAGTTGATAACCACCACAAGGCCCATTAGTGCAAGTCACGAGAAAGTGTAAGTGTATTAGAAGACCCAACCAAATTCTTCGGTTGACGATAGGAACAGAAAAGAAAATCTTCGTTTCTAAAGTGTTCTTTTATAAAGTTCTTGGCTAAATAGATTTCAATTCTATATAATTTTAAACTGTACCTATAGACTACGCCGTGAAAGAAATATTTTTTTTCTGGATATTGTACATGGCTTTCACTTTCGTCATGTAATTTACTAATTACGCAGAGGTCTACCCACGTGCGACTGCGACGTCGTTTTGACCAGCTTATCCAGACTTATTTTATCCCAATAGAAACTGAATTAATTATTATTTGATGAATTGTTCGGACAGAATCAAGGTCATGCATTTATAGTGTTTACAACTCTACATACCCGGTCAAATCCACAAGTTTGAATTATATACTGTACTGATTTTAGTAGGTTATAAGTTCTAACTGAATTCTTCAATGTGAATTGCATTAAATGGTATTATAAGGAGTAGGTTTGAATTATTCCGATTTCTTCTTGTTGAATAAAAATGTAAAACTCGATTTACTGGTCACCTTTTTTGACATTTATTTTCCGCTCATCATTAAATCAAATAAACTCGTATTATGAAAAAGAATGAAATATGAACAAATGAAATATTAAAAAAAAAAGAACAAATGTATTGACGTAAATGTTTATTTTAATCTCATGCACCTACGTGTAACATAAGTCCACGTCAGCATGCACACCGCCAACACCAAAAAAATAAAGAAACAAAAAAAATCAAACAACGGTCAATTGCGAATAACCAAACGAAGGATGAGGAGACAACGGCGACAGAAGCGGAAAGTTAAGAAACGCCGTTAAGTCCCAGTCAAATATCTCCGTTAAGTTTGACGTTCCAAACGGAAAAGTCTCACCGCCGTTAACGCTCTGTTCTGTCTTCAACACTTTCTCTACCACAGTCACATCCTCGCCGTCATTTTCGTCTCTCTTCCGCTTCTTATCCCCGTCGGCGTCGGAGCGTGGCTTCTTCCACTTCCCGACCTCGAGAGGGAAATTCAGAATCGCCTTCGATCCTCGAAGTCTAAACGCTGCTTCGTCGTAAGCTCTAGCCGCTTCGATCGCGGTATCAAACGTCCCGAGCCAAATGCGAGATCCGCGTTTATTCGGGTCTCGAATCTCCGCCGCGAATTTCCCCCACGGTCTTTGTCTCACTCCTCTGTAATGCTTCTTCTCTTCCGATATCGGTTTAGTAACTTCCGGTTGCTGATTCCCGCCGGCGAATTGGATCCACTCGGTTTTGGTTGGAAGTGAGATCTTCAATGGCGGTTTTCGATTGGATTGCGAATCATCAGAAGCAGATGGGATTTGAGGTTTAGTCTCCGATTCAAATTGGTTTTCGTTTTGATCGAACGGTTTTAAGTCGAAATCAGAATCGAAAATCTCTGAATCAAATTCTAATTGGATAAAATCCATGAATCTCGGCGTGGAGAGATCGATAATTTCAGGTTTTTTCTCGGATTCATAGAAATCAATTGGAGGGAGAGAAGCGAAATCAGGAGCTGATGATGATACGAAGATCATAGAAGAAGAATCGGAGCTAGATTCCGTTGCTGCTGAATCGTTTACCATCCATGGATCTTCAGCTACCGGAGAAACCTCGTCGAGTAGATGCTTCTCGATGAACCAAAGTGCAGATACTTCGCTTGGAGTGGCCATTTTAAAATTTTGAATTTTCAGGTCAAATTCGTGAGACCAGAGAAAACAGAGAAAGAAGAGGGAAGATGATTTCAATTGATGAAGAATGATTTGAGTAGAGAAGAGAGTGGAAAACAATGTATATATACTAAATAGAAAGAAACAATTAATGTGGGGTTTTACCATTTCCTTTGTCGTCAAGGGGACTTTTTCAATGGTGGTTCTGAATAAATTTGAATTATTTAAAACACAAGAAGGGCCAAGGAAGAAACCATCCTCTTTGTGTTTTAAAATTTTATATCAAAAGTATAATCAGGTGTAAAAGGGAGTACCACTTGCTTGCGTGTTTCGTGGACCTTGAGCCGTTGGATTGGATTACAGATTCATCTAGTCGACATTGTGATCGTTCCGTTTTTCACTTCCTACAATGTTCCGTCTTTGAACTTTATCACCAAACTTCATTCATATATATCTTCATGGGGTGTTATAATTCGTTCACATGCGTCTTATTGTCTTCATTTTATTAGGCTTTCACCAAGTCAAAAGTGTAAATAGTTACTATTAAACACAAATGACTAAGAAAGAAAACTTTGTGTGTATCTTTTGGTAACGTATCCACAAATTATCGATACTTGTTGATGGTGTGTGAATGCTGTTTTTAACAATCCGGATTTGGCTGTTGACAGAAGAAACTAATAAATTTTTATGGTTTTATATTGCTTCTGTAAGTTGCAAGCAATTCCTTTTCAAATATGAATTCTATCGAAAATCCGATCCACACTCCATAAAATTTGTCCAACAATCAAAGCTAAACTTCATTTTAAAACTTTCAATTCCAAGAGAGTTCATAGTATTAACCACCATCTTCGTTTTTGACATCATTATTTCGTAGTTATAAACTAATTATAATTTAATCATGCGTGCATATATAATGTTACACTAGCACCAAATTAAATTTGAGTTCATCTTAGTTTTCTCTCTTCCATAGCTTGTTTGTCTTCACGCTGCATTAAAAGTTGGTTACGTATTTTATGAAAATCAACGTTCCAAACTAGAAAAAAAAATCTAATATCAATAGTAAATATTACAAACCAAACTTATCGAAAAAATGCAAACCCGAATGTTATTGAAAACAAAATCGGTTGGCAAATAATCAATCCATGCACACCAATTTCACACAGTATTAAATTGTTCTTCATCAAGAACAACATCAACCGGCTAATTTCGGCTCGAAAAAAAATAACTTGTTTGTAACAAAAGAGAAAGAAAAAGAAAACACATACGCGCATTGTTGAAATCGTATAGCTCAAATAATTCACGTGTATAATGATTCTAGAAAAAATTATACGTGGTAAACACAAACATAACAAAGATGGTATATTAAAGCATGTCCAACAAAACTAAACTCATAAAGTTAGAAATTATGATTAGTTTGATAGTTCCTCTGTTTCATAAAAAGTGTCGTTCTGACACTTTTTTTTGTTTAAAAAAAAATGTCGTTTTAAAATTCCAATGTAATTTTTAAAATAAAATATCATTTTTAATCTCAATAAATTCAGAAAATTAATTATAAATATAATTCCAAAAGTCATTTTCTGCAAATTAATAAGGGTATAAGAAACTTTTTATCTTATTTATTAATTTGTGGGAAGAATGTCAAAACGATATTCTTTGTAAAATGGAGAAATTTTTTATCTTATTTATTAATTTGTGTGAAGAATGTCAAAACGATATTCTTTGTAAAATAGAGAGGGTTTAGTAAACAGGATAAGACTGACAGAGTCAAGTCAATGCATGCGGCCTTTTATGTGCAGATTATACAATATTTGTTAGATTATATATCGAGTTACTTGATTTCGTAATTACTGCCTAAACCAGTTTACTGGATGGACTCTACCACCTGCTTCAATCAGTTTTATATATCATTTTTTGAATACACTTTATTATGTATTATATACGACAACGTGAAAGAATTTACGCGGTGCATTGATTGGTCTGAAAAGAATGAATCAACGAGTTTCTAGAAAGCCATGCTACACAAAAACTAAAAGGAAGTACTAACTTCTGATAAATAACTATAGCAACCAATAATTCAACAAAAATAAGCATGAATCTAATAACTGTTTGAGTTATTATAATCTGGTCTTATTGTTTCAGTTATTTTTACTACCATTGTATACGAATAATAGTAAATTTTCAGTCCAAACTTATTTGATAGTACGTAAATATAGAGGTATGTATTTTATATCCTGATTTAGATCAAATTCACCTCAAATGTGATATCACGTTTACTCGATTCGTTTTGCTCTACTTATTTCATAATGAAATATTTTTTTATTGAATTAGTCATATATGTTTGGATTTATTGGCCTGATTCCGATATTATATGAAGAATAATGAATTTTCAACTAAAATACAATAGGCAACAAATTGAAATTCATGCCTAGTTAAGATATTTTTCACCTCGAATAGAGATCTATAGCACTTATATTAGTGTATGTTCTTTTTCAATTCATGGTAAACAGAAGACCTCTAATCATTACAAGATGAACTACGGATCGTTTACTTGAACCAATCTTGCCTCCATTAATAGTGGCTGCCCTGATATAGTAAATGTAGACATTTTTATGTTTTTTTTTATCATAAATCTATCTAACAACATTAAGGGTCATCAATATTATTATATTACTTTAGTGGTTGTAAGTTTGTAACATCTAAGATAAATATATATTTAAGCTGTCAGTAAAAAATTAATGGAAAAGGATAATTTAAGTGATCATTGATACGAAAATAAACTATTCTCACGAATAATCTTCAACAAATGTGACAACTACACAGCATTATAAAATGGTAACAGAAAATTATAATTTGGAGTCTTCTAAAAAGGAGCTAATCATTCTTCATTTATAGAGAATCTTTGAATTCTCATATAACATGAGAAAACCAATAATAAAAAGAATGATTATCGTCTTCTGTTGAAGAAAAACTCAAACATTGCGGTGGAGATGCACGTGCGGGGTTGTTTGCACGTATGAAATTGAGTTTGCTAGAATAAAGGTTTGAAAAGTCAGCGGTCAAAGTCAAATAAGACTAGATATGGTCAACATCAAAGTTTTGAATTGCTGACGGGTCAGGACATTGCTCTCCCTTCCTTTGATCCTTCCTCTCGCGTTATATTGTGTACCTTTTGCTTTTATCCTTTCTAACACTTCCTTTTATTATTTGTTTCAAAATTGTAGATATATACTTTTATTGTAAACACATAAAATCGGTTATTTGCATTTGTTTTCTTCTCTTCAAATATTTTACTTTCTGTACCTTTTTTTGTAACATATATAATATCGTTTTGGAATCATGTGTGAAATATGAATCGGTTTGAGCTAACCAAGAAGATATCAAGACCGTAAACTAATGATAATCGGAAGCTGGACGGTTTTTCGTTGAAGTCGGTATAAGTTTATATTATAACAAGAAAGAATGGACGTTTAATTGATAAACAGCGTAATTAATATCAACTTGATCACCATCTTGTAATTGATAAGCATCTGCATTGTAGGATTCTTGTGCTTAAACCCGAGATATAAACTCTTGTAAGGATATTGATGGCCGAGATGTAGTGTAATTAACATACCGTTAAGATTTTTTTTTTAATACTTATATGGTTGGAAGATAAACTAAAAACTATTTAAGTTTCATTATATGCGGATTCAAATATGGCATAATATCAGAGAGAATAATTTTTTTTATTATAAAAAATAAAGCACTGGTTAATCTTAAGCATAAAATAATTATGCACACAAAAATTAATTTGAAAATATATATAGATGCATATCATTCACTAATAAATCCGATTAAAATGATCTGACATTTCATTTATATCTTTACTAGGTTACAGGTGTAAAAAAATATTTTTTTTGATGATTGCTTGCTAAATCCAAATCATAAAAACATTAATTTTTTGGAAAAATCACACAAAAGGAATTATATTTTTCCATATAAGGAAAAGAAACTTGATGGATGTATGTGAAACGTCCAAGTGGGTAATTTGAGGTAATTTGTGGAGTTCAAACATGAAAACGAATGTTCAACTACTAATATATATTCCATACATTTGATATTTAATTCATTGAAGTAATTTCACAACGAAACGGAACTAACCTAATTGGATCCATATACTAATTATTAAACACAAATAATATTAGTTGTTATTAACACCATGCGGTGTCTGGCGAGGCATAATTGGTTTCACAATTCACACCCGAGAACAATGACCGGCTTTAGGCATATGAAGTGTTTGATTTTGAGACACTAAACACCCCCTTTTGGGATTTTGTGCTACTATACAAACCACATCATAGTAACGTTCAAGTGTATTTCCTTGAACAGAAAATCTATAAACTTGTTGTTTTTGTTTGTAAAATACTTCAACACCATATTAGTTAACCATTAATGCGTGTACCTTGTTCCTATAGCTAAGAAAAAAAACATACATCACTTCATATACACTCAATATCAGCATAATGAAATAGCCTAACAAAACCAGAGTAGTGTGATGATGAACCAAAAACGATTGGAATAGACTAGAGACTGGAGATAGTACAAATTTTGTAAGAGAGTTTAAGTGACTATTGACTCTAGTACTCTACTATGCTTCCGTGAAAGAGGTCTCTTTAGCAAGTGGACATGCGTGAGAGATCCACCATTAATTTGTTTGCAATGCTTATTGTCATCGACTCAAAGCCAATAGAAGGGAAAAGACGGAAAATTAAATAATTATCCACAAGATTCCAAATTATTGGTGGAAAAAAATAGTATCTAGGCTGTTTGAATAAACACAAAAAAAAACGAAAAGAAATCTAACAAAATGGGTTAAATTATGATTTCTGAATTGAGTTTTTCATGAAAACTTTTTTTTACTCATAAAAACTTTATCATTTAAGGTTTAGTATACATTATTTATTGAGTAGCATTAAATGGTAATTTCTAATTTTGTTTTTGGTCAGAGGTTATTTCTTGATTATTCCTTCAATAAACATGAATTACTTTATAAAAAAAGGTCTTAAATGAATAGAAATCAAGAAAATTAGTAAAAAGGAAAGCCAAAAGGGTAAAAGTTAGATGATATCAATCTGTGTCCAGGAGAAATGTATCCCGATTTGTGCAGACATTTTTAAAGTGTCACATTCAAATAACTATGGCCCACCTTTAATTTTTGGTTCTACCACCAAAACAAAATCTAAGCTAGATTTCATGTAATTAAATGACATATTATTGGCAACCATATAATACTTACACATTTGCAATTTTAATAGTTATTTAGTTGTATGTTTGATCTCTTATCCCATAGGCCACAGCAAAGAAATTACTTTGATGGAGTTGAAATCTCTCAATTGAAAGCTATAGTTCTATTACTAATCTAAACAAGGGACAAGTTGCTTAATAAAACCGGAACTCAAGATTCAAAACCGAGCGACAAAACAAGGGACAAGTTGAGAGACAAGACCAATCAGCATCTTGCTTCCGCAAATATCATGACGTCATCTTGACCCTTGTGTGGATAAAGCGCACGTGTTTAATTCATGAACCTTCGTAGAAACGAAAATTCCACAACTTTCATATTTTTTTATCAGCTTTTTAATTTCCCACTATATTATAAAATTGAAAAAACATGAAAAAGACGTATTTTTTCATTTTCCAGGTTCATGAACCTCGTCTCCTTTTTCCACTATATAAACCTCTTCACGGTCATTCCACAGAGAAAAAATTTAGATTCTTGACAATTCAATCCAAAACAAAAAGAAAAAAAAAACTCATTTTCTCTGTATTAACAATGTACGGCCAGGGAGAGATCATGGCGGCAGCGGAATCCGATTATGCTTTGTTGGAGTCGATACGACGTCACTTGCTAGGAGGAGAGAACGAGTTTCGACTCAGCGAGTCAATACCGAGTTCTTGTTTCACAGAGAGTTGGGGAGATTTGCCATTGAAAGAGAACGATTCCGAGGATATGTTAGTCTACGGAGTCCTCAAAGACGCATTCGACGGAACCTTTGACACGTCATCGCCGTCGTCGGACTTGAGCTGTCTCAGCGACTTTTTAGACTTAGAACCGTCGTCGTCGAAGCGCCAGACTAATCCGTCTCTGAACGATTTTCCGGCGGTTAAACTCGAACTGTCGGAGAATCTCGCGGCGGTTGCGGAGAAACCGAAGCTCGCCGTGTCTGCGGCGCCGCCGGCGAAGGGGAAGCATTACAGAGGAGTGAGGCAGAGGCCGTGGGGGAAATTCGCGGCGGAGATTCGTGATCCGGCGAAGAACGGAGCGAGGGTTTGGTTAGGGACGTTTGAGACGGCGGAAGATGCGGCTTTGGCTTACGATAGAGCTGCTTTTAGGATGCGTGGTTCCCGCGCTTTGTTGAATTTTCCGTTGAGAGTTAATTCCGGTGAACCGGACCCGGTTCGAATCACGTCGAAGAGATCTTATGCTTCTTCTTCGTCGTCGTCGTCTTCGTCTGAAAACGGACAGACGAAACGGAGGAGGAAGACAGAGAACCTGCCGTCGGAGTTGCAGGTCAAGTGTGAGGTTGCCTAAGAAACGGAGGAGGAAGACAGACACGTGTCGATCATTTATTTGTTTATTTCATAGGGTTTGAATGTGTGTTTTGTAGTTGAAAAATGTTGAGGCAGAAAGTAAAGCGCTCCTTATGTAAATTATTATTTTATAATAGAATGAAGAGTTTCATTTGTTTTTTATGGTCTCTTCTACTAAACAGAGCAATTCCATGAATAGATTTCTTAGACAATTATCACATGCGGTGAATATGGGAGCTAGAAAACACGAACACTGAAAATCAAAATTTCCTATACACCGTTTTGTTTTATTTCCTTGAAATAACCAAACCTGATATTTATGTAACCGGACAAAACTGATCGAATGAACTTAGTTAAATAAAGAAAATTCAAGTTGTTTGTTTAACTTTTTTGAGCAACTTATCAAACCAAATTAAAATATCAAATCAAAGCAACTAAAAATTGCATCAAACGGAGTCTGAACCGAAACAAAACTAAACTACAACTGTTTTTATATGATTTCATGATTTCATCCATTAGTGTTGTTATTGTCTCATGATACAAGTTCAATCCGTAGAGTGCATTTATGAATTGTAGACGTTACAAACTACAATAGCAATAAAATCCAAAGATAAACCATTAGCTGACTTATCCACCCCAATTAATAAAAAATTCTTAGTCTTTAGTTTTCAATTTCGATTCATTTTGATCCGGTTTACACTTAACCAAATCCCGAGCTGCATTTTCTTAATTCAGTTTGAATATATTGTGTAGGTTTGAATCTGGATGATAACGTAATGATGATTCTAACACAAACTATTATGACATATGTCTTCACAAATATAAAAACACTAATTCATTTGCTATTAAAAGCCATATATATTATAGTGGAAAAGATGAGATCAGAGACTTTTCTAAGAAGTCATGTAGAATCTATTCAAGATCGATTTTAGTATAGAGAAATCATTTCTTGTACATTCTATTAGTCCCGGTTAGATCTGGTTTACTTTCTAACCATACTTGTATAAATACTGATTCTATATATATATATATATATATATTAAGTTAATAATTTTCTTCTAAAATGGTATTAAGCTATGGATCAATTGGGTGTAAATTTGTTTATACAATCAAACACAAGGCTGATGGCAACATTGAAAGATATAAGGCAAGATTTGTTGCCAAAGGTTACACTCAAGAGGAAGTCATTGATTTTGTGGATACTTTTTCATTAGTAGCTAAGTTTGGAACGGTGAAGATTCTTTTGGGGATTTCTGCAAAACTGAACTGGCATTTAACTCAGTTAGATGTCTCGAATGCATTCCTCAATAGTTAATTAGATGAAGAGATTTATATGGATCTGCCTCCTGGTTATGTGATACCGTCGGATGTTATTGTTGAAGGACGCATGGTCTACAAATTGAAAAAGTCCATATATGGTTTGAAATAGGCATCACGCCAATGGTTCATCAAATTCTCTTCTACTTTATCTAACATGGGTTTTGACACTGCATATGGAGATCATACCTTGTTTACAAGGTTTTCTGATGGGATATTTATAGTGATACTCGTCTATGTTGATGATATCATCATCGCTACCAGTGATCCGAGTATCATTCATTCCTTGAAAATTCAACTGATGGATTTTTCAAACTCAGAGATCTCGGTGATCTTCAATATTTTTTGGGTTTGGAAATTGCTCGTTCTTCAAAGGGAATCTCCATTTGCCAACGAAAATATATCTTGGAGTTGTTGTCTGATACTGGTTTCCTTGGTTGCAAACCATCTTCTATTCCTATGGAACCCAGTCATTCTTTACACAAAGATGACACTCCTTTACTTATAGATGCAGAACTCTATCGAAGGCTTATTGGTAAATTGTTATACCTGTGAAACACTCGACCTGATATCACATTTGCAGTTACCAAACTTGCCAATTCTCTTCTGCTCATCGAGAAGTTCATCTCCAAGCTGCCCACAAAGTCCTGAGATATCTAAAGGGAAGCATTGGTACAAGACTTTTCTATTCTTATGATCCAGATCTCTCACTTAAAGGTTTTGTTGATGCTGATTGGGCAACTTGTCCAGAAACCAGAAGATCTGTTTTGGGATATTGCATGTTTATGGGTGATGCTCTTATCTCTTGGAAATCGAAGAAACAATATACTGTTTCCTGTAGCACGGCGGAAGCAGAATACAGAGCGATGGCATTTGCTACTAAGGAACTAATTTGGATCGCTCAAGTGATGAAAGACTTACGTCTTCCTTCTCTACTTGCCGTTGGTTTGTATAGAAACAGTACTTCTGCTCTCAGCATTTCCAAGAACCCTATCTTTTATGAGAGAACGAAGTTCCTAGATATTGATTGTCATAAAGTACGGGATTGTATTGCATCTGAGTTTCTTAAGACACTTCACGTTAGAAGTGAACATCAGCTTGCAGATGCATTCACAAAGCCTCTCTATCCCACAAAATTCAACAATCTTATATCCAAGATGGATCTTCGAAACTTCTATGAAGCTTCATCTTGTGTGGGGGGGAGGGGGGGGTTTAGTATAGAGAAATCATTTCTTCTACATTATATTAGTCCCGGTTAGATCCGGTTTACTTTCTAACCATACTTGTATAAATACTGACTCTGTACAGATATTTTACAATTAATGAAGTTAATCATTTTCTTCTAAAAATCGATTTCTCAGCTAAAAAAATCAAAGTTATAAAGAGAGGATTCATATGCAAACAATTCAGGCCATAGAACTTCAAACAAACAGATGAATAAAGAATAAAGTTTGAAGCCCATCGACTCTTTGAATGGGGCTAAAAATGAATATGATTGGCATTAACGGGCTAACCAGTTAAGAGTCTTAGGTTTGTGACAGCTTATGGGCTTAACCAGCTGGTATCCCTTAGATGTGAGATCTAAATGACTCGAAATCGTACGGTCAGAAGAGGAGGAGCAGATTAGCTTAACGTGTTACCGTCCGCAGAATATAACAAACTCCAGAGAGGTTTTAGATTAGGTTTTAACATCGAAACTCGCATACCTCTCTGCCGCTATCTTGCTAGGTTTTCCATTTCGCAAGCTTCACTCTCTTTTTGTTCTGACCGCATCCAAAACACAAGTGTTTCACTAAATCATCTCATTCGATTTTTGATTCAGATTTCTTCATGGAATCGTGTAGTCAATAAGGTTTTTTCCCTCTCGAAAAATCCACCAAGCAAATTCTCGGGTGACTCGTATTCGATTCGATTTTAGCAGACCGGAAATGGCGACCGTAAACCCTTTCGATCTCTTAGGAGATGACGCCGAGGATCCAAGCCAGCTCGCTGTGGCTTTGCCGAAGAAGGTCGAGAAAGCAGCTGCTGTGCAGCCTTCTAAGGCCGCTAAGATGCCGACCAAGCCAACTCCTCCTTCTCAAGCTGGTAAATGTTCCTTAAATGTTCCTTGGTTTTGTGTAGATTTTGAATAGATTTAGTGTCATTTGTGTTGGATAGTATCTGATTTAATTAATTGAAGTGAAGCTTGTTGATAGTTTGGCATGAAAGATACAGATGCAAGTGTTTGGTTTTGTCATTTGAGCGTTATAGTTTCTTCTTGTCTTACTTTCGCGGTTGTGCTCTGTCTTCTATGTAAAGAGTTTGCCTTACGTTGGAAACTTTATTGAATTATGTAGAATATGAATTCTGAATTGTAACTTAACCATAGTTTTCTCTTTAGTGCGTTAAATTCATAACCATGGGTGTTCCGTATAGAAGGTTTTGCATTTGCATCGATGTATTGAAATTTTACTGAATGAAAGTTTGACTTATATATCTTTTAATAAATGTAGTGAAGGAGTCCAAGAATGCTCCCGGAGGAGGTCGTGGTGCTGGTGCTGGTGGGCGTGGACCTGCTCGTGGTAGGGGTGGATTTAACCGTGACTTCAGGAACAATGATGCTCCTAGGAATGAAAATGGATTTTCCGGAGGATACAGACCTTCTGAAGATGGTGAAGGAGCAAGGCGTGTTGGGTCTGTTGGTGGACCCCGTGGCGGTGGTCGTGGAGGAGGCCGCCGTGGTGGATATGCCAATGGTGAATCAGGTGATGTTGAACGCCCACGAAGGCCCTATGAGCGCCGTAGTGGAACTGGTCGTGGGTAAGCTTTCTTTTTCGGTCCTTTTACTTTGGTTACTGCTTTGTTTGACTTTTACTTGTTTTGTGATTTTATTTTTGTGACTTGATGTTTGCTAGTAATGACCTGAAACGTGAGGGTGGTGGTCGTGGAAACTGGGGTACTACTGAAGATGATATTCCACCGTAAGCATTTAATTTGATATTACTGTGATTATATTGCAACTTGTTTGTACGAAGTCTTGTGGAGAATAAGACACTCTTATGTTTGTATGATATTTAGAGCAACCGAGGAACCCACAACAGAGGTTGAGAAGAGCCCTGTTGCTGAGAAGCAAAGTGGTGAGGATGACACCACTGATGCAAAGAAAGATGCTCCTGCAGATGAACAAGAGGAGAAAGAAGCTGAAGACAAGGTATGAACATATCCTAGTCGTGAGATTTTCAACATTTTATGAGTTTAAAGACTTTAAAGTTTTAGTCTCAAGGAAGTACTTATACTAATTTTAAAAGGATATGGGTTTGTTATAGGAAATGACACTGGAAGAGTATGAGAAAATTCTGGAGGAGAAGAAGAAAGCTCTGCAAGCCACAAAGGTTGAGGAGAGGAAAGTTGACACCAAAGTGTTTGAGTCCATGCAACAGCTCTCTAACAAGAAGAGCAATGAGGAAATCTTCATCAAGCTGGTGAGAATCCGAAATTTCTTCACTTTCATTTCCGTCGGTTGTGTGAATTTCTCAGTTACTAGAGCAAGAGTTGATCCTTGGTTTAAATATTGTATCAGGGATCCGAGAAGGACAAACGCACTACTGAGAAAGAAGAGAAGGCCAAGAAGGTCTTATTTCTTTCTCTTCTCACCATCCAAAATGCAAATCTTTCGTGTTTAAACATTTTCGTACTGAATCTAAATACTTGTTTCGTGTGCCATGTTGTTGTAGTCGCTGAGCATTAACGAGTTTTTGAAGCCCGCTGATGGAGAGACCTACAATCCAAGAGGAGGATACCGTGGATCTCGTGGAAGAGAAGGTCGTGGTGGCCAAGGACAGAGAGGTGGAGGAGTTAACGGTAGAGGAAACCCAAGGCACGGAGGAGAAGCTGCTGCTCCGAAGATCGGAGACAGTGCTCAGTTTCCATCGTTGGGCAAGTAAAGACGCCTTTTGGTCTTTCAGCCTCTATCTCCCTCTCTCTGCTCTCTCGTTGCTTGAATTTTGCTCTTAATTCTATCATTTTTGTTACACTTTCTCGACTAAACCAGTTTGGTGTCTTTTTACGTTATGGAAAAACAAAAATTCTTATCTTTCTTTCTCATAAATTTTAGGTTCTTTCTAATTCTACCAAAGCTCACATTTTCTGCTTAACGTCGTAATCTTCAAAAGAAATAGACCTGTTTTATAGATTTTTTAACAGAATATAATGTATTTCGAGGTACAATTATAAGAGTGGAGAAATTAGAAAAGACATATTTGCTTCATTAGCATAAAGGACCTTTTACTAAGAAATTTATGGGTTTCAAACTTCGAAATACATCAGAAAAAGAATTGCAAAACTATAAAATGAAAGAAAAAGAAGGATCCAAAGCGGTAGCAGCCAATTGGAGAAGTCATACATGCAATGCAAACAAATGATGATTATAATGGTGTGATGACCCAAAGAGAATTGGAGACTAATGGAATCAAGAGGAGCAACAGCCTGATTGCTGGTTCACTGGCTGTCCGCGAATCTGGACCGTCGGTGGCTTGGCACCTCCAGCTGGTTGGCTAGCCATTCTGCAAACAGAAACGGTTAAGTATGGAAGTAAAAGGTTTTAAGGAACACAAGTAGAATCTGTTTCAAACCTGGTCTTAATTGCAGCAGTCATAGCCATGAAAGCTTCTTCGACGTTCGTTGCATTTTTAGCACTTGTTTCCAAGAAAGGGATCCCGAGTTCATCTGCGAAAGCCTGTACGAGGAGGAGAAGAGAAAACAATGCTATTATCTTTTCTGACAAGGTTTACGCAACAGAGGCTACTTGATTTGTTTATTACCTTAGCTGTCTCAGTGGATACAACTTTCTGTGATGTGAGATCGTTTTTGTTCCCAACCAGTAGCTTGTTCACATTCTCACTGGCGTAGCGGTCGATTTCATTCAGCCATTGTTTGACGTTGTTGAAGCTCTCTTGGTCCGTGACATCGTAAGTAACCTGCCAAGAAAAGTTAATTGTGAGGGAAGACCAGAGGATGGATGTATTAACAAGAAGATGATTGTTCGGTGAGAGTAAGTACGTACAATGATTCCATGAGCTCCTCTGTAGTAGCTGCTAGTGATTGTCCTGAAACGTTCTTGACCTGCTGTGTCCCACTGTATATACACGGTAATTGCCAAGAGTGATTGATTGTATGCTCATTCTAAATTTTAATTGATTATGTCGCATATTCAGCTCAAGAACACTTACAATCTGGAGTTTGATTGTCTTTCCATCCTGTTCGACTGTTCGGATTTTCTGCATCACATCATGAGTAAAGATTAATACTTTCTGAATTGTTTTTGTTCTGCATATTAACAGGCGATGCAAAGAGTATGCTTACAAAGTCAACACCAATGGTACTGATGTAGCTATCCAGGTACGAATCATCCTGTCCACACAAATTCGAGAAATCAAAATTATAAGCGCACAAAGAGTAAACAATGATACCATAGTAAAACTGAGAACGCCTAAGCAGAAACTGAATTGACTAATGAGTTTTTTTTTAGCAACAACTATAAAATGTAATCTTCAAGAACACATAGATTGTTATTTGTGTTCAACGTTAAAAGGCAATTCAAAGATGATACATCATACATCTAAACAATTCTTAGCTGAGAAAGAAAATTACTTACAGCAAATCTTAGAAGCAAGCACGATTTTCCCACACCAGAATCACCGATAAGCAAAAGCTTGAACAGATAATCACTGCAAAAGAGGATATTACGGATTAAGCCAGAGAGGTAAACATCATCCCGAAAATCAAAGTGAAGCTCCTAAACTCATAAGGATGTCTTTTTTCGCAATGTTTCAGCCCGTGTCCGGAATTGAAAAAATAGATGATCTGAAACATATGTTGTTGAATTTGTTCGCATAGATCAAAACCATGAATCCTCTATGAGAATGATATCAAATGTAAATATGTCACACCCGCGAATTTCGACTACGATATTTTGCAGACAATCAACAGAAATTGCAGATCTCAAGTCAAATTCCGCTAGATCTAATCTATGTAAGATCCAAATCAGACAAATCAAAGTAATAAAATAAAAAGACCACAAACGAGGAAAATTGGGTAGATTCAATTTAGCAACCTATCAACCAACAAAGATCCAAATAAAAATCTAACAAAAAACAAACAAACGAACGCATCAGAAACAAAATTCAAACAGGAAAAGCGGGTAAATCGACGAAAAACGATCCGAAGCATAGATATATCAAATCAAGAGAAGAGAAGGCTCTTACTATTCAGGATTCATGGCTAATCTCGTATGCTAGATCGATCTCCAATAGTATCAACGAGAGAATCTGGCGATGAACGGAATATCCGGCGATAGTTTCAGCGATCGTTGTCGGAACAAAAACGAGAGAGAGAGAGAGAGAGACCTAATACGGTGATTGTTTTTGTTATTTATTTTCTTTTATTCTTTCTTTGGCTTATTAAGTGTTCCTTTTGTTTTATCAATGACGCGGTTAAGGGGAAAAAAAAAAGAGGGACCCACACTTTCGGAATTTAAATGCGTTTGGTTTGATGTTTGAATGGTGACGTGGCATAGCCAACCCAGAGATGTGTGGAGAACAAAAGAATCAATCATCAATCAATCAATCAATCTTTTGTCACTTATTTTTCGTTTTCAATTCAAGAAGTTAAAGTTTCGAATCGATTAATTTCACTTTAAAGATATTGATTAGGCTAATAACCTTTTTGGAGACAAAAAAACTTTTAAGAAAAATATATTCGTAAGACAAAAATTACAGACAGATAGAACATGTATCTTCTTAATTTTTTTGGGTCGAAAGAACGTACATGTATCTAGCTTGCTTTTAAAAATATTTAGCTTTTTATCGCTTGTGGTGTAAGTCAATGATAACGTGAATATGTAGACGACTTGAATAAACAACATCAAATTCTATTGTCAACTCAACTGAAAATTAGTTTCGTTCATAGTAAAAATGAATTAAAATAAATAAAAAATAATCACCACTAAAATAATACAGCTCCATACTCCACGACAATGAAAACATATATGCATTTTGATAGGAAAGGCTCAACACAAATTATGTAATCATATGATAATGAGTTTGATTGGTAATTCTTAATTAGTTTCTTACCGCATGTCTGCAGTGAAGATGAATGCTTTAGTGGGTATCAATTATGACAACGGTAATTAACAACTACGTTTCAAAAACTTTATTTGTTCTAATAGCTATCAATTATGAAAACGGTATACAACTATGATACTGACAGTGATATCGTCTTTTAGTTATTCCGACAACGTTTACTGTTATTTTTCACTAAAAAAACTCTAACCACGAATCATTTTAGAGGCCAGTTATAATTTTTGAAGTCCAAAGAAGGTAATATAAGGCCATGACTTGTACTAGTTAAAGGACCATAACATACTTTTGTTGTAACATAAACTCTTTGTATTCGGACCATCTTTAGTTGTGGAGATTGGGGAGCTAAGAGGCATTAGAGTAGAGCAGGCATTGGTTTGTGGAACCACATTTGGTAATGTAGTTTCTCACAATTTTTTCATTGAATATGGGCCCACTTTGTAGGCCCATTAACGTCAGTAAATGGGCCGTTTAATGAATTGCTCGCGCGGATAAGAGATTTCACATAGAGTGCTAAAAACGCTGAAGTTGATAAGGCTCTTTACTCTGCTTCTCCGAAGTATTGGGTTGTGCAAACATGGCGACGAGCTCTCATCTTCTTCCTCAGGTTTTTCTTTTCTCTGAATCGCAATCACACTTCACATCATGCTTCTTTGAAATCTATATTTATTTATATATGCGGATTTTCCTTTTGGCAGGCATTGCATATGACACCGAAAATCCATACGTTCTCCTCGAAGAATTTAGGGGTTTCTTCATTTCTACCACGGGCATTGCCATTGAACTCTCGGCTATCAGTTTCTAGGGTTTTTCTGAATCATTCGAGTTCGGGTTTTGGCTACGCGATCGATTCCAGGAAGAGAAGGGAGTTTATCGCTAAAGCCGAAGAGAGCACTGAAGGCGAAGCTGGAGCAGTTGTGGAGAATGTTGCTGAAACTGAAGATGAAGTAGAAGCCACTGAAGCAGAGGAAGCCAAACCTCAGAGGAAGCCGAGGATCAAGCTCGGAGATATCATGGGAGTAAGTTAATTTTCAAATGCGATTCCTGTTTGATTGTCTAGGGTTCTCTCTTGGTGATGAAATTGGAATTTTCAAATACAATTATCAAATGTGTTTATGTAAGATTAGACACTGCTGCTTTTGCAGTAAAGAGTGTGAAATGTTTGTTTTGGTTCTCGCTCTCTAATCACCAGTTATAATGTTATAAGCACTGGATAGATGAAAATGTTGAATGTAATTTTGTTTGTGTAGATACTGAACCAGAGAGCAATTGAGGTCTCAGAGAAAGTAAGACCTGTTCCAGAAATTAGAACAGGGGACATTGTTGAAATCAAACTGGTAAAATCCTTGTTCTTGGTATAATCCAAAGCCATTTTGCATCAAATTGCAAGATTTGATTTGACGTGGTGGGTTTGATTTACAGGAAGTTCCGGAGAACAGACGTAGGCTATCAATCTACAAAGGTATAGTGATGTCTAGACAAAATGCAGGCATCCACACTACTATTCGCATCAGGAGAATCATTGCAGGCATTGGCGTTGAAATCGTCTTTCCTATGTAAGCATCTTCTTCCTTACCTTTTCAATTACCACACTTGCTGCCTAGGCTTAAACTTGATCTATGCTTGGAGCCAGATTAAGAAACAAGCCTGGACTTTTACTCTAAAATCACTCTAGGCGTGTTAACTTCTTAGTATCATTGGCTGAGTATACAATGAAGTGGCTTTAGAAAAATGTACCTGATGTGTTTTTTTTTATTGGAATAGATACTCTCCCAACATTAAGGAAATAAAAGTGGTAAGTCACAGGAAAGTAAGAAGAGCAAGGCTTTACTATCTGAGGGACAAACTTCCTCGTCTCTCTACTTTTAAATGAACCCAAAACCCAACTCAGTCTTGTGTTTTCTTCAACCTTTAAAGGTAGCTGATCTCTTCCTTTTACATACACTCTTTATCTCTCTCTTTCTTGTAATAATTGTTCGTTTGTTTGTCTTTTGGATTTCATTTTTTTCATGTAATTTACATTTTACAGTGACTATAATTTCAGAAAAGTAAATCAAAATGTTTTGTGAGGCTCCCTCTTGATGTTTTGATCTTGAGTTAGAGTATGAACCTTACATAACTAATTTGAACCATTTCTTAGGGTGTTTTTGTAAAAACTAACACTGCCTTTATTGTATATTGACAATTTTATCCTTGTACCCTGAACGTGAACGCATATCAATCAGTATGGATAATATAATCCCCACCAAATTCTGGATAACTCAATCATTTTCTTGGACAGTGTTAGTCGCTAATTTGCAAGATATTTCTTTTTTAAAAATCCGTTTGAATCATATAAAGTAATATAACTAAATGTAATTCTCATTCATCATTTAGACTGAATTGTGAGTAAATTGATGGTTCACAAAATAGAATTACACTGGCTCTGCGAATTCAAAATTATAAACGTAACTGTTCAAACTCTTTTTCAAAGATTCTACTTTGGTCTTATTGAATCAATGAGTTCCAGCTAAAGCAGACAAACGAATATTCTGGGAAATCATTGAGTATTTTTCTTGTCTTTTTCCTCTCCATGACTATAACTACTGTTTCTGTGTTTCTTCGTAATGATTCTATTACCTCGATTTAATAAATCGTTTATGTCCGATATTTAATTACTACCAACAATAATGATTAATTGCCACAAACAAATAAATAAAAACAATTTCATCGTGTTGGAGAGATGAAAATGGCCTACCACCTGAAAGCTCATTATAGCTTTTAGCTCCTATATAAATTAAATTCCACCAATCAACACTTGCCACGTTATTGTCTCTGTTTCCAGCCTGTCGCTTTACCTTTTTTTCTTCTTCTCCATTGCTCAACTGTTTTCACACGTGTCACATTTCCCTTCATCTCTCTAATTCTCTCTCTCTCTCTCTCTTCTTCCCCGTACTTCCCGGAGACGACGCCGGCGGAAATCGCACGGAACTTAGCTTCGACTTCACGTGGCCGCTCCACGAAGCGTTTTGGTTTTTCTTCCCTTTTCTCTCTCTCTAGAAAAGTTCCTTTGCCTTTCGTCACCACCAATCGAAATAGGAGGTGAATTTTGGTTTTGGTGGAGAGCGATTTTCGGGAGCCAGAGAAAGAAATAAGCAGCTTCTTCTTCGCCTTCCTTGCTGATCGTTTGGACCTTGACTTTTGTTTTCAGGTTTGATCCGTCTTTTCTGCTCTTAATTTCTCACTGATTCTGTTCTTTTCGTTTTCACCTCTTTTACTTTTGTAGCTTTTTTTTAGACCTCTTTCGAAAAACAAAAGCAATAATAGAATCGGAATCGTTTGATTTTAGGGGTTTGGATTTTCGATGTGTACAGGTTTCGATTTCTAGAGATTGATTGATTGTCGATCTTTTGTGGTTAGCTAAGCAATGACCGGCGTTGGCGAGAACCAGCTTATCTCCATTCAACCTGATGAGCTCAAATTTCTTTGTAAGAATTTCCACTCTCTCCTTCTATATTTGGAAATATTGTGCATGCATGATCCATCTATTTTGCGATCTGGTTTCCTAAATCTATACTTATCGTCTGGGTTGTTTCTTAAATTTGAAATGTGGATGATAAAAGACCCTCGCGAACTAGCCAGATTTTGCAAATCCTGAATCTTTGATTTCATCTTGTTACACCAATTCTCGATTTTTTTCTCAAGCTCTTTGAGGTTATGGTACTTTACCTTAGAAACTATTAACTGTATACTGTGCAATGAAGGATACATCATTTGGGGGGTTGTCTTAAAAGGAAACTGTTGTCTGTGATTACATTGTCTGTTCTATGAAATTGATACTTTTTGAGGCCTTTCTATTGGATGCTCATGAGGATATTGATATTGTATCAGTTGAACTCGAGAAGCAAAGCTACTGTGATCTCAAAGTTGCCAATAAAACAGAGCACTATGTTGCTTTCAAGGTAATTCTGCATCGAGCCACCAACTTCATATGCTTTCTTCGTGATGAAGTTTCTTCCCTAAAAAAAACTTCCTCTTTTGTGTGTTTTTTTTCTTCACCAAATCAGGTGAAAACAACATCTCCAAAGAAGTATTTTGTAAGACCCAACACTGGCGTCATACAGCCATGGGACTCCTGCATCATTAGAGGTGCAGTGATTCTTTAGAACTCTTTCAGTTATTGGTTGTTTAAAGCTTATTAAACATAGAAATAATTAAGATCTTCTAAATTTTATAGTTACTGATACGAATATTGCTATTAGGATACTCTTTCTTTTTCAGTTAAGATTTCTATTTATCAATTTAGGGTTTCTAGTTTGTTATTTCCTTTCCCTAGAATGTTTTCCTTTTACGTTTCCTTATATATAGAGATGAAGTCTTGGTTGTGAGTGGCATCCAAGCAAGAGAGAGCTTTGGAGGGTTTATCGGTTTATCTCTTTGGGAGTTGTTTTACTTTTTTTCTATTTGATACTATTTAAGTATTGAATAAAGGTTTTTGCTTTCAATTCGATTTTATCCCTAACAGTTACTCTACAAGCGCAACGGGAGTATCCACCAGATATGCAGTGCAAAGACAAGTTTCTCCTTCAGAGTACCATTGTACCTCCACACACTGATGTGGATGAACTTCCACAAGACACAGTAAGTCCCAGGATAAAACTTTTTTTTCTTTAATTTAGAATCATGATGTTTCGCTTTTTTGGGGGAAAAAAAATATTGACATTGAATTTGCGGTGCATGTGTGTAGTTTACCAAGGACAGTGGCAAAACATTAACAGAGTGCAAGCTCAAGGTCTCGTATATCTCCCCGTCTACAACGCAAAGATCCTCTGAATCTGGAGCAACCAATGGTGATGGAAATGGCTCCGAAACCATCTCTGTGAGTACCGCATCCACATATTATAATTTCATCTGCATGTGGTAATAACTCCCTGCAAATGATCTTAACCGCATTGTTTGGTCTTGTGTGGTAACCAATTATGATCATAGAAAAAGCTTTATAGTAGGATGATTCTCTGTGTGATACGAGTATATACCGTGGACCTCTCGCATAGATAATAATCTCCTGTCATTCAAATCTCAGACTATCTAGTATTCGCAATTGTGGTTTCCAGGCTATCGAAATGGTAATGAGGGACTAAGTTGATTGGTTAGGACACTATACTATAACACACGCCGGGTTACAAAGCTTCATTTTATTTTGTTGTCTCTGTTATTATACCTTTCTTCATAAGGTGAACAATGTACCTCATAGAATCTCATAAGTAACCACATTATCACTTAAGAGAGATTAGTTTGCCTTGATTTAATTCCCACTCTAACGTTTCTACCATCAATATGTATGATCAGACTATACAGCGGCTGAAGGAAGAGCGAGATGCAGCTGTTAAGCAAACACAACAGCTGCAACATGAATTGGTACGCCCCAATAAACTTGTCCTTGATATATAATAGGATAGATCAATCAATGCCATTTAGACAAAAATCATGTGAACTTAACAATGCTTAGTAACAAAGGATAATCACCAAATATGTTTGAACTGACATGGCAGGAGGTGGCGAAGAGACGAAGAAACCAGAGGAACAGTGATGGGTTATCCTTAAAGTTGGCAGCTTTGGTTGGGCTCATCGGACTCATCATCGGTTTCATCTTAAAACTCACCTTAGCTTCTCCCACTTAACGAATCTCAGCTTTTCCTGCATCGTCTACCATCTCAACATTTGTAACCGCGGAATCAAAATGGCGTCACACATTTTGGGGGTATTCTACTCTGTTAACTCTCTATACGGCTATATCTCTTATCCCTCTCAGTCTTTTTCTCTATGATCTGTTCTACTTGTTTCCTCCATCAAATTTGCTTCTTTTTCAGTTATATTTGGATATGTACATTTTTAAGCCAACAGACCCTTTCACATTCTCTTTACTTTTTCATTTAATGGAAATGCCTAATCCTTTGTATTGTTTACTTCATTGTGATGACATCAGTTGAGAAAAATAGGTTTTACGTCTCTTCAAATCTCCTCTTGAAATCCATGCATATCTGATAGCTCCATATCAAGTCTTCTTTTATACACCACTGCAAAAGTAGAGATCTAGTATGGATAAATTGAAATGGATAAATTGTTTTTATATTAGTCTAGTATTACTCCCTCTGTTCAGAATTATTTGATGTTTTAGAAAGTTTTTTTTGTTCAGAATTATTTGATGTTCTCACTTTTCAATGCAAAATTTAATGAATTTTTATAGCTTTTGACATTTTATATTCTGCAGATTGTCTTTTTATTGGCTGAATGATATTTAAATAAATTATAAATAATATTTTTAGTATAGAAAAAATTAAAATTAAATGAATCCAGTGCAAAAACTTTAAACATCAAATAATTTCTGAACAGAGGGAGTATTAAATATCTCACCAATTCGCCATTTAAGTATTCAGAATATTATGATCATTCAATTCATGGTGAGAGAGAAAGCAAACATAAGTATTTTTTTATTTTTCTGTAATGTAATATTGTGGGGTTTGAAAAAGTGTGCAGACTGGCACAAGATGCATCAATAATTACAGAAGCATCAATAAATTTTGTACAGGAGCAGAAACAGAAGCATCAATTATTTTGTAGCTGCACAAGATTCCAACCTACTGTTATGATTGTCAACAAAATTAAAGTTGATTTGATAAGACTACCACAGATCCAGGACCTAAACTTTCAAATCTGATACTACACGGAAAAAAACAAAAGAGTTTAGTCTCTCACACTAATGTCCAAGTCATCTGAAAGCTGATCAGAGGCTCTACGAAGCTTGAACTTGAACAAAACATTACCTCCTGGTCCTCTCTCTCGCCAATAATCTTCAACCAAATATAACCCAACATACACGTAACGTTTTCCTCTCTGGTCCAATCTCTTTCTGCCACGAATCACTCTCACTGGAGTCTTTTCCTTCATGCTATTAGCTAAAGCCAAATTCCCCGTAACAAGCTTCTGATCTTCGATTACTTTCTTATCCTTGCTCTTTACGTTACCTCCTTGACCAGAGTAAATCATCACATCAGAGTTAAACCTATCGATGTAACCATTACCTTCCGATGAAACAATGCTCGTAGCTAGTTTCATGTCTCCTATATTCATGTAATCAATCCCACCCATGATGTCGAAATGGAGACCAATCAAGTTGAGTTCTGATTTGTACTGAAACTCATCTCCAACTTCGATTCCAGGGACTGGTCCAATAATCTTTTCTGTATTCACTTGCATCCTCTCTCTCTTCAGGATAGTCAGTGTGTCGCAATCTATTCTACTTGTACAAGTCTTTGATTCTCCACGCCGTGCTGCTTTGTCTCGATCAAGCTCTTCAAACACCATTCTGAAACGACGCAGCGCCCTGAGAACTTTATCTCGTGGGCTAAGAACTTTGGTAATATGGTTTTGTTGCATAACCGGGATGTGTTCAAGCTGTTTTGGTCGCCTTTCATCTCTGTTTTGAGTTTGTTTATGAGCCTTTGCTTTTAGTAAAATTGCATTACTAAACCTCTTCTTCATCTCCGGATAGTTCCTCTGATTCTGCGCAGCTTTAGCTAACAAAGGCTTCCTTGGAATGTTGTTAGTAGGTGAATCTGAAAGTTGTTTTCTTTTGCTCTGAGAAGCAATTAGTCTCATAGTTTCATCTGAACTTAGAGGTTTCACTTTACTTCCACAATATGGAGGAAACTTCCTCTTACCTGAAACGAATCTTCCTTTCCCAACGTTACCATTAGGTGCTAAATTGAAGCCAGCTTTCTTCATAATCACATCAAATGATTCAACTTTCTTAGACCTATCAGCAGGATAAGCAGGCTTCTTGTGGTAATTTTGATCAGCAACACCAACACAACGATGTTCATAACCATGCCGTTTCTCACTCGTGACTGCAACAACCTCGCTACAATACTCACTTCTCTGATTCTTGACAGGCTGAGTACCACATCCATGTGGAAAATCTCTTACAGCAAAGATCTGGTTTGGCTTGTTAGAAGGGGAGGTCCTTTGAAGCATCTTACTGCATACATACAATGTGAACAAAACCAATCAACCACTAAGCACAAGACAGCTTAAAGACAAAGAAGAAACCATCAAAAACTAGTAAACTACTCTGTCACTAATCTAGAAAATCCCAAAAAAAATCGCAAGCAAACACATATCGTACTCGAGTCTAGTGTAAAATATCTAAAGAAATGACAGAAAATGAACTTAATCTACGGAGCCAACAGTGAACAGTAAATTAGGGTAAAATTACGAACAGTAACAAGAACAAGATGGCAAGTAAGGAGGTGCAGAAGACTGGAAATATAGAGCGATTTTTTAGTCACTGAGTTGAAATCCGAGCCATTATTGTATGTAAGACCATGGAGATTGTGAATATACGAACCTGGACAAGAGCGAAAATCGATTATAACTCTTGATTATCTCAAATTTCCAGAGGTTTTGATGAAATTCCCAACCTGCTAAACAAAATCCAGGCAAAAAGGTAATGCGTGAATAACAGAAAAAACGAAAAAAGAAATTCAGACAGAACAAAAGCGAGATTAAGGCGAAGAACACGCAGATACGAACAGAAATGCGAAAGGTAATGAAGAACGAGTGAGTACTTAGAGCGTCGTACACTGTAAAAATGGTGATAAGTAGCTACAACGACAACAAAGTCGCTAAACCAGTGAAATTCTCACGAGGAAGACGGCGAGTATTCGTCTTCTTCTTCGTCTGTCTCTGGATACTTCTAATCTCTTAAAGGCTCGAAAAACGAGGAGAAGCTACAGAGACTATTTGTAATGTTATTGAGATTTTCAAAATGTGATTTTCCATGGAGCCACTAACTACGTTAATGGTTTTCAGTTATAAATTCGTAAATGAAATAGAGCGAATTATTACCAGCTAATTACACAATTAGCGTTTATAAAGCACGTGAAGCGACGCTATGCTAATTGCGTACTTTGTGTTATGTTAAGTTTCCATAGCATTTAATTTCTCTTTCCCTTTTCAGGCTTATTTGCTTTAATACTAGATATATAGACTGAGAAACTCAGAAGTCTGGAAAATTCAAATTTCTCTTGCTATGAATAGTTTTGTATGCATTTATATCAATATATGGAGTGGTTTTTATAATGTTGATTTGCATCAATATTATATTTTGAAAGCCAAATTAGGTAACTAAATATTTGATTACAAAACTAACAGTACTCTCTATGTCCAATGGATGGGGAAATATCAAATGTCCTTGTCCATAAGTCTGTAAATACTGTACCAATTTCTTTATTTTCTGTCACTAAAAACCAATGTTTTCAGACCCGGACCGGACCGGATGGTCTGACCGGTTGAACCACGACCCGCTAAAAATTCCAGTTTGGTTTTTGTTGAAAACCCGGAATGCTATTAAACCGCTCAAATCCAGAAAAATCCGCTTAAATTCGGTAAACCGGCAAAAACTCGACCCGGATAGGTTTCTGGTTTGAAAAAAAAATTAATAGTTTTATAATTTTATTTATGAATATATGATATTTTTTTATAAATATAGTTTTGAAAAGCAAAATTAGAACAAAATGCAAGCACTTAGAGTAACAGAAGATGAAGAAAACGAGGTTGTAGCAAAATCAAGAAACATTGCTAGGATTTTCTACATTATTTTTAGATTTTATGAGATAATTAATATATATTTTTATTTTAATGTTTTTAATAGTAATAACGGTTGTTTTTCTATATTTTATTGAATGGTTTGTTACTTTCTCACCATTATACAGTTGTAAGTTTTATAATATCAAGTTTTCTAGTAAAAAATGAACTGTTTAAAAAGAAAATAAATAGAATGAAAAAAGAATATATAATAAAAAATATAATTATAAATGTTAAAAAATATAGTTAATATGATCACTATACTTAGTGTATATTTTATTTAAAATTTTATTAAAAAAAAATTATATAAAAAGATATATGATAATTAATGCGATTTGGTGACAGAAATTTTTTTTAAAAATTGTTTTTTTTATATAGCAGAAAAAATGTAACAAAAATGATAACATTTATTAAAAACTATAACAAATATATATACTTAGTTGATCCGCAGTTGACCCGGATTGATCCAGGTTAACCCAGTAACCCGGCAACCCGAAGAACACTCCGGGTCGTTGTCCGGGTCGGGTTTAAAAACATTGCTAAAAACAAAATAGAATATTTTTTTCTCTTTACAAATTTATAACAAATTATAAACACAAAACATATGATTAATTTATGACAAACAGATGACTATTGTTCTTTTTTTTTTTGAGAAATAAATACAGATTTTTGAGAAGAAAAAACATAAAGAGAGGAGTGATGAGAGAGGAGAAATGAGAGACACGAAAAATATGTGAGAGTTATCACAATCATTAAAAAATTTGATGATGGAGTTTTTTAAAGATATATAATAAAATTATTTTAATAAACGATAAAATAATATTTTGTTAGATTCCAAATTTGGTTCTTCAAAAGTAATATTCATTACAATTTCTATTTTATAATTTACTTAAACTACATTGAAATAATTTACTAGAATTTTGATGTGTTGTTCTCTTTTAACAAAAGATAGAAAACAGCTTAAAAATAATCATGTAGAAAACAGATTTATCAATTCTCATGATCAGTTTGGTTGAGTTCTTAGATTTTTTGTTTGTTTGGATTCATCAATTGTAAACTGGTGTTAACCGGATGTAATATGTTCATATACAAAACTATATGAGTCTTGTAACAACCATTTAGTTGAATAACAGAAAATCTTTTCCCTCTTTTCATCGTCTTTTTCCTCTCGTTTTCTCTCGATCTCAGTATGCTAACATGGTATCAGAGCAGTGAGAATCGAAATCTCGCTCGATCATTTTCTTCTTCTCCTTCTTCCGCTCATCATTTTAATCTCAATTAATCCATTTCTCGATTTCGCAATTGATTTTTGGTCATTCCGCCAACAATCGCGATAATCCTGGATTTATCTTTTTCGGAGCTCGATTTCAGCTTCAATGGTGGTCGTTCGTAAACCTACACGCCGTAATGTTCGAGGAAACTCGTCGTCTCGAAGATCTTCTGTTCCCGAAGATTCACCCCCAAACTCTCCGATTAGACCGACAGATTCGCCGGATAGCATACATTCCCCATTCTATCTGACGAACGGCGATAATCCCGGTATTTCCTTAATCTCTGAAGTTCTCGATGGCACAAATTATGATAACTGGAAGATTGCAATGTCCATCGCGTTAGATGCGAAGAATAAGATGGCGTTTATCGACGGATCTCTTCCAAGACCTATTGAATGTGATCGGAACTTTAGGATATGGTCTAGATGCAATTCCATGGTCAAATCTTGGTTGCTTAATTCAGTTTCGAAGCAAATATACAAGAGTATACTTCGATTCAACGATGCCTCTGAGATATGGAAGGATTTGATGACCAGATTTCACATCACAAATCTGCCTCGCTCATATCAATTGTCTCAGCAGATCTGGTCACTACAACAAGGTTCTTTAGATCTCGCCATATATTACACCACCTTGAAGACCTTATGGGATGAACTTGAAGGTGCGAACTGTGTAGAGACATGTCACAATTGCAATTATTGCCGAGCTATGGATTCTAAAGCAGATCATGCAAAGGTTATCAAGTTCTTGGCAGGATTGAATGATTCCTACAGTGTTATACGAAGTCAGATCATAATGAAGAAGAACATTCCTGATCTCTCTGAAATATACAATCTACTTGATCAAGATCATAGTCAAAGGAATATCTCTCCAGTCCAAAATGCAACCGCTTTTGCTGTCTCTGCACCTAACACAACACAGCCGTCTGTTAATGCTACATATGCTCCTCCAAAGCAAGGTAGACCGGTCTGTTCTCACTGTGGTTACAATGGACACACAGTTGATAAGTGCTACAAAATCCATGGATATCCTCCTGGTTTCAAGCATAAACAGAAACAAAATGCGGATAAAGCTCCTGCAAAACCTGTTGTTGCTCAAGTATCTCTCGGTGATCAGTCATCTCAGGATACAGCAAATGTGATCAACACTCTATCCAAAGACCAGATCAATGAGGTTATTGCTTATTTCAACTCTCAACTCCAGCCGACTATCAACTCAGTGACTGCAACTTCAGTGCCTTCTACTTCTGGTGCTACGATAACTGCATTACCTGGTATGGCTTTCTCTTCCTCTACATTAAATTTTGTTGGAATCATGAGAGCCACTGGAAATAGGTTATCATCTGAGTCTTGGATAATTGATAGTGGAGCTACGAATCATGTCTCTCACGATAGAAACATGTTTGAGAGTCTGTTTGGTTTAACAAATAGATCAGTGTCATTGCCTACTGGTTTGGGAGTTAACATTGCTGGTACAGGAACTATCAGACTAAATGAGCATCTCGTTTTGAAGAATGTCTTGTTCATACCAGATTTCCGAATCAATCTTCTGAGCAACAGTCAACTCACAAAAGATTTGGGTTACAGAGTAGTTTTTGATCAAGACAATTGTGTGAAACAGGATCTTATCAAGGGATTGATGATTGGTCAGGGTGAAGCTGTCTCCAATCTCTATGTCCTCGACATTCCTGCTATCCTTAATTCTGCTGTCATTCAATCTCCATTTGTATCTCATGTTACTCTAGATTCATGTCTTTGGCATCACAGATTAGGACATCCGTCTATGCAAAAGACTGAATCCCTTACTCATGTACTTGGAATTAAAGAAAGAAATAAAGGATCTTTTCATTGCTCGATCTGTCCTCTTGCTAAGCAGAAGCATTTACCTTTTAATTCCAAGAACAACATGAGTCTTAATGCTTTTGATCTTTTACATATAGATACATGGGGTCCCTTCTCTGTGTCTACTGTAGAAGGTTACAAGTATTGTTTAACCATAGTGGATGACAAAACTAGAGTAACATGGGTATACCTTCTTCGGACAAAGGATGAAGTTCTAACAGTCTTTCCTGAGTTTCTACAGATGATTGAAACACAATACAAGACTACAGTCAAAGGTGTCAGATCGGATAATGCACCTGAGCTACGATTTATGGATCTATTCAAACGCAAGGGTATTGTGGCTTATCGTTCATGTCCAGAGACACCAGAGCAGAATTCTGTGGTGGAAAGGAAACACCAGCACATTCTCAATGTTGCTCGGTCCCTCATTGGAACAACGTTCCTTTGGATTATTGGGGAGATTGCATCCTCACTGCTGTTTTCCTCATTAACCGTCTTCTCACCATTGCTGCAGGACAAGAGTCCATTCGAAGTCTTGACTTCTAAAAGACCTGTGTATGATGGTATTCGGGTCTTTGGTTGTCTGGCCTATTATTCAACATCTTCTAAAGGTCGACACAAGTTTCAACCCAGATCACGTCCTTGTGTGCTTCTCGGTTATCCTGCAGGATATAAGGGATACAAGCTTTTGGACATGGAAACTAACAACGTTTACATCTCCAGAAATGTTACGTTTCATGAAGATATCTTCCCCTTCAAAGGTCAGAATGAATCTTCTCCTGATATTTTTGATCCAGTGATGAACTCTATAGGTGAACAAACATCTAGGATGGATAGTGAAATCCCTAGTGATTCTGTTCCCATAGTCTCTTCAGATCAGAACACCTCCAAACGATCTTCTAAAACTCCGGCATATTTACAAGATTACTATTGTAATATGTCTACAACAGAGATCCCATATCCTCTGGCTTGTTACATGTCTTATGAGCACCTTTCTGAGGGATATAAAGATTACATTTGCGCAATGAATCTACACCCTGAACCGAAGTCTTTTGCTCAAGCCAAGAAATTTGATGAGTGGCTCAAAGCAATGAATGAAGAGCTTATTGCCTTAGAAAGCACTAACACATGGGACATTGTTTCTTTGCCTCCGAATAAGCATGCCATTGGCTGCAAATGGGTATATAAAATCAAGCTCAACTCGGATGGAACTCTGGAAAGATACAAAGCCTGTTTAGTTGCCAAAGGCTATACTCAACAAGAAGGTATAGATTTTGTTGACACCTTCTCACCTGTTGCTAAAATGACCACAGTGAAGACAATGCTCGCTGTTGCTGCGGTTAAGAACTGGAGCTTAACACAGTTGGACATCTCAAACGCATTCCTAAATGGAGACTTGTCTGAGGAAATATACATGCACTTACCGCCTGGATATACCCCAAAAGAAGGAGAAACCCTTCCCCCAAATCCAGTCTGCAAACTCAACAAGTCTCTCTATGGTCTAAAACAGGCCTCAAGACAGTGGTTCTTAAAATTCAGTTCCACTCTTATTAATCTTGGATTTCGGAAGTCTCAAGCTGATCATACTCTCTTCATTTGAAACATTGATGGAAAGTATGTTGCAGTTTTGGTCTATGTTGACGATATCATCATTGCAAGCAATGATGATGATGAAGTTACAAAACTCAAAACGGATCTCCAGGCTGCTTTCAAACTAAGAGACTTGGGTCCTCTTAAGTACTTCCTTGGGTTAGAAATTGCTCGTTCTGGTAAAGGGATTTCTGTTTGCCAACGAAATTATACTCTGGAATTACTTGATGAGGCTGGTCTTCTTGCTTGCAAGCCTTCTAGTATACCGATGGATCCAAATATAAAACTCTGTCAAGATTCTGATGAACCAGTCCTTGAAGATGTTTCAGTTTATCGGAGAATGGTTGGGAAGCTAATGTATCTAACGATCACTCGCCCAGATATAACCTATGCAGTGAATCATCTTTGTCAATTTGCTTCTTCACCAAAGAAATCCCTTCTTCAAGCAGCTCACAAAGTTCTCAAATATCTTAAAGGAACTGTTGGTTTGGGTTTGTTCTACTCAGTGGAATCAGATCTTTTGTTAAAAAGTTTTACTGATGCAGACTGGGCCTCTTGTTCTGACACTCGTCGATCAACTTCAGGATTCTGTATGTTCCTTGGATCATCTCTGATCTCATGGAAATCAAAATAAACAACCCACCGTTTCTCATTCTTCTGCTGAATCAGAATACCGTGCTATGGAGTTTGCAGTCAAAGAAGTTGAATGGCTTGTACATTTACTTCATGAATTTGATGCATCTCAATCTCAGTCAGTGGCTTTTTATTGTGATTCTACGACAGCAATTCATATAGCTTCAAATTCGGTATTCCACGAACGCACGAAGCATATTGAGTTGGATTGTCACATGGTTCGTGATAGAGTGGACAGTGGTTTAATCAAGTTACTTCACATCAAGACTGATCTACAACTAGCTGATGTCTTTACCAAGCCACTATTTCCAACACAGTTTAACTCTCTTATTGACAAGATGGCTTTAATTTCCATATACTCACTATCTTGAGAGAGCCTATTAGAGTAAACCGTGTAAACCGGTGTTAACCGGATGTAATGTGTTCATATACAAAACTATATGAGCCTTGTAACAACCATTCAGTTGAATAACAGAAAATCTTTTCCCTCTTTTCATCGTCTTCTTCCTCTCGTTTTCTCTCGATCTCAGTATGTTAACAGGTTACTTTCATACTTGATAATTTCCCGCTAAATCGAGGAGAAAGACTGCATCAATGTCGTGTTAAGCACCATCTCTTAACGGTTGATATTTTTATGAAGACCAGTGAGATGATACTGAATGTTGTATCCTCTTCGACAAACTATTTTTTTTTTGGGTATATGCATAATGTATTGATTCCCTTGATTCTGATGGCTTTTAGTTACGCTTTTTTTCTTTTCTTCTATAGATGCATTTAAATGAAATTTCATTATTAATTGTCCCTAATATATAACTCATCAACTTTATAATAGAGGACATCTTCTTCATTACTCCTAATCATATTTACTTGCATATATTAAGTCTAACTTTCTTAGAAGAGGGGATTGATTTCCAAACAACTCCTTCATTAGTTACTTATTTTCATTAAATACATTTTGGCCAATATATAATACAGCTTTTTACGGCAAAGTGATCATACTAACATAACAATGTAAATTAACCGTAAGAACCATATATCTCATATATAGAATAAGTCTAACTTCTAACTTTGATTGTTTTTGTTTTGAAATTAATGTTTTGTTGGATTATCTCTAAGTTTTATAATTGTAATTTTTAACTTCTAAACATGCATCATATCACTCTGATAAATCAATAAGTTATTGAGATTTGTTTGATTGCGATAGTTGTGCTCATTAGTAATACAATTATGTTTATAAATGTCGAAAAGTGTATTTTTACATTTGAACAAATTTTGCACTAACTAAAACTCATTAATGGAAATTCTCACAAGAAAAATGATGAAATATTAGCTAGATGAATTTTCTTCTTCGTATATTCGAATTACTTCTTTACTTTTTCAATAAATGGAAATGCCTAACTCATCAAACACCATTCTGAAGAGTCTTAAGGCCTTAAGAAGGAACAACTTTGACGTTTCTCTGAACTTGCAAGACCCTCCTCTGTTCATAGACTTTATTTTGCTTATTGGAAGGAGAGAGGTCGTTGATTCATCTTCCTGCATAACAAACAAAAACCACTAAGAACAAGACTCTTAAAAACCTGGATAAGAGAGAAAATGTGTCTCAAAGATTCAAAATCATAAGTTTAGAATGAAAAATCAAGCCAAATTAAAGAACACGCATATGATAACAAAAATAACAAAAAATAATTCACTAAACCAGTGAAAATTCTCACGAGGAAAACCTGGAGATGTTAGCGAGATGATCATAGTTTTCTTCTTCTTCTTTGTCTGGGTTTCCACAGATTTTTATGAAATTTCACCTGCAAAACAAAAACCCAAGCAAAAATAAAGTGAATTTCAGAAATTCCAAAGCAAAAATTTTGAACAAATGCAAAATTTAAGCTTAAAGAACACGTACGTAAATACTTAAATGGCAATAACAACAAAAAAACCACTAAACGAGAGAAAATTTCACGATTGTCTTTATTCTTCTTCTTTTTCTATCTCTGGATTATCAATGATCTTTTTCAGAAAAATTAGATTCTTGATTTCAGAAAAGTGACAGTTGTTGGGGTTTCAAATCTTTGTCTTACTACTTCCTTCTCATGGCGGTGATGAGAAATTAATTACATAATTAACCTTCCACATCCATTTTTTTCACCCCTTTCATTTTAATTACTTTATTAACTTAGATTTTTAGTAACTCATAACTCTAATAGCAATTGATTGTCCATAGTAGACTTCCCAATGAAGTCTACTAAAAAAAAGATTATTTCGATGTTTGACTTCTTTCTGAAATCTACTTCGATTTTTCGAAAATTTTTAAATTTTTTTTCAACTTTAGTCAAACACAAGAATGACTTCTACGTTTTTGGTCAAAATACAAAAGTAACTTAAAAGTAGAATTCTTGGACAGACTTAAATAGTAGACGTTAGAAGATATCAACTATTAAAAAATCAAAATACGGTCAATTACAAAAATAACCTCTTTTCCTTCGTAAACTTCTTGCGACTTCAAACGAAGTCTATTAGGTTTTTTTTTTGTTTTCAAAGGATATCGAGGTTACAAATTTTTAAAAAGTTAATTGCAAAACTAATCTTATGTTGACTAGTAAACTTCATTTTGCAGTCTACTTTCGCGATACATATATATATATATATATATATTACCAAAATTGAAGTGTATCATTACCTATATTGGTTTTGAGTTTGTTTTTAGGTCTCCCATGCATCCAGAACTCTGAATTTCACCCAAAAAAAAACAACTCAGATCTCGATTAAGCTGAAACCACCAAAATGCATAATTTTTGACATTGTAACTCAACCCAGAAGTTTTGGAGAAGAAATTATGAAAGAATAAGGAAGGTTATGAGTGTATGAGATCATATTAACTTATAAGCTTTAAAATTGGTTGAGAAGCATTTATTCCATTTTTGGATTGTTCATGGTGGTTGAAGATATTGAAGAAAATGTCATTATTGTAATAAAAAGGCTTTAGAAGGTCCAAAGAGATTTTAACTAATATTTTAAAAAATCGAAATAATGAATTTATAATGATATTTTCGTTAATAACTTGAGAGAAAAGATATAATTATGACAAAATAGCAAAAATTGGAGAAAAAAAAGAAGAGAGTTTATTTTAGTGTTTGATTTTTTTGATGAGCTTATATATGAAACTCCCCCTAAATCTTATTGCAACGTCATAGAGATTTATTTCATTTATATGATGATTATAGTGTTCTCAAGTCAAAGGGGAGGTTGACCAGGAATTCTACAAAGCTTAAACTTGTACACATTCTTACCACTAACTCCTTTCTCTAACCAATATTTATCAACTAAATACAATCCATCATACACATACCGTTTCCCCTTTTGATCCCATCTCTCTTCCCCACGTATCACTCTAACTTCACTCTTGTGCCTCATACTATTAGCCAAAGCTAAATTACCCTTTACCAATCTCTGATCTTCAGTTTTCTTTCCCCTGCTTATCACGTTTCCTCCTTCACCTGTATAAACCACAACATCAGCATCAATCTTGTCATTGTAACCATATCCTTCTGAGGCAACGATGCTTGTCGCAAGCTTGACATCTCCGATCTTCATATAGTCGATCCCACACATCGTCCTGGAATGAAGCCCGATAAGACGAAGTTCGGTCTTGTACTGAAACTCATCTCCAACTTGGATTCCAGGGACTTGTCCAATTCTCTTCTCTGTGTTCACTTGTTTCCCCATTTTCTCTAAGATAGTTAAAGTTTTGATGTCTATTCTTGCTGTAGCATCAAATGAATCTCCACCACGCCTAGCTTGCTTATCTTGATCCAACTGTATGTAAACATCTTTAAAATCACGCAAGACGTCAAGCACTTTCTCACGTGGTGTAGGATCATCATGATGATCAGAGTGTCTTAGAGAGATTCCACTAGGTGAAGGAGCTGCAAGAACATGATCATGATCAGAGTTACTAAGCTCCGGTGGTTCTTGATTGGACCAAGCTCCTTTATGTTTAGGAGCTGCAAAAGCTGGTCCTGGTTTGAGACAAGTTCTTTTAGGTTTTGGAACTGCAACAACAACACGATCATGTTTTTCTTTGAGAGAAGCTCCAATAGGTTCTGAAACTGCAACAACATGATCAACACTCAGGTTCTTGACAACAACATCACTTGTTCTTCGATTCTTGAAAGCCTTCACAGGAACATTAGGGGGAAATCCACAACCAGGTGGAAAATCTCGAACCGCATAGACAATTGGTCGTTTCCGAGAGGGATTCATCTTCCTGTAGAAACATTACAAACTTCACAAAATCAGTATCTCTAGCAATCGATCACTAAGCCAGTTCTGTGATATCCTATTTCTAAAACCCCAAACACAAGGCATTAGGGAGAAACGACTAACCGGAATCAATTCGATTATTAGAGATAATGATATATCGGGTTTGCTAAAATAACGATTCCGGTTATGTTGAATCAGAAACAGAGTCTGTATAAAACAGAGTGACGATGAATATGAATACAACGATGAGAAAGATACATAGAGAAATCATGGAGTGATTTAGTTAATCGACTTTGAACTTTCGAACGATCTTTGTGTGAGAAATCATTGAGAGTGGGAACTGGGAAAAATTACGAAACTAGATGATGTCACTCTATGAGCTTCAGATATTGTTTATTTTTTTTTGTAGATTTTGAGAATTTTTTGCACAAAAGTCTATCCGTTTCTATCTCAAAATTGACAGATCGTTTGAGGAAACTATAGATGGATTTCCAAGGAAAAGACGAAAAATGGATTTCCATCCAAACGATTCAGCTAAAAAAAAATTCAGATCGTTTGAGGAAACTAAAGATAATCCAAACAAAAAAAAAAAAAAAACAGAAAAAAAAAAAATGAAAGCATGAGCTCAGAACAAAAGAAGAAATGAGTGAAAGAAGAAGACGTCACTACATAGAGAAGAAAACGCGAAATGTATGAAGAAAAAATGCGAGATAACTTCAGAAAACAGATTCCACGATAGTTTAATGATATACCAGTGAATCACGACGACTGAAAACTGATCGATCTTCTTTTTTTTTTCCGGCTACGGCGAAACAAAAAAACACTGGACAAGATCTGGAATAGTGTTGAAGAGAAGTAGTGGAGGGTTTGAGTGTAATAAATCCTTCTCTATGTTTAATTTATGAGCCCCACAATGTTCACGAAATTAAGGATTACTTACCCAAAACAGAAATTAACGCGTTTAACTTGAACACAACGCTTACTTTCAAGTTTTCTAGTTATAAAATGTAATTCAATGTACTTAACTTCTCTGTTGCAGAAAAAAAACATAAAGGCATCTCTGTTATTATGGAGCCCACAACGTTAACCTAATAAATGGACGTATGATCCTTTTATGTAATTTTGTGTTTTTTTTAACCTTACTTTTATGTCATTTTGTTGAAAGTAAAAAGTAGGAGTAGTAATGATTCTTAAATTAGTAAATCAATAATGCGGAGCGTGTTACTGCCTTGCTGGTTTTGATAGGAAAATGAAAAAAGAAAAGTCTTACGTGAATCAATACATTACCATAAAAGCGTACAAAAACTTTCAGTCTATAAAAGAATGTTTTGCTATTAAAAGTTCACGAAGATTACAAAATTTTATAAGAAAATTAAATGCGATGCATTCAGAAAAGTGGTTTTCACACTAGATCTGTTTGGAATTGACCACGAATAATGAACAACGCAATTTTATTGTTCTGTAACAAGGATACATTTTGACTATGTTACTGTAATTTTTTAACGTAATATCTAATTTGTCATTGTCAACTGAAAAATATAGATGAGTTCAGATGTCTAGTCTTTGTTCTATAAAATTCTAGTAAATTTGAGAAACCTACTCTTCTAGTTCTATCATATCATGTGAAGAAGCTTCGCTGGAGGGAATGGTCTATTATACTGCACATCAAAAAAAGAAGATATTGATCAGAAATATCGTTATCTTCATAGCTAAACAGTAAACACCATAGAGCGACCATAGCTCATAGGGGTAAAGGAAGAGACACTGTTCTCTAAAATCTCTTTGGTTTCCATGTGGTTTGATCTAATCTTCATCCTCATCACAACCTGTCTCTGGAGACTGCAAAATGCAAAACTCAAAATTATCAGAAACGGACAGATTTTTTATAGGAAAGTTATAGATTGACAATATTCAAGAATCTTGATTGACCTGAGAAGTTTTGGTTTAAGCTTTGACAAGGTATTTCAATGGTTACAAGACTAGTATCTGATGGATTCGTGATTTGAGACCCATGATATTGTAGTAACAGATTCTTTCACTCCCTTTTCTCTGTTCCTCTCGAAAACCTCTTGAGCATGCAATAGCTCTCCAACATATGGGATTTGTTAGGATCGATGAAGCAATCTTTGCAAGTGTCTTAGACTCTTTGAATTGAGAACTCTCAAACATCTCGAACATCCTAGTGAGGAACCCTAATTAGAACACTCCCATGTCCTATCATTATGTCTTATTCGTCCTCAAGAAGCAAGTCTTCCTCTGAATAACCAGAGAGACGGGAAGATTTCTGTTCTTGTAAGACACTTGTGAGCTTTTTAACAGAAGAAGCCCTGCCTTCAGAGCAAACAAAGATTCATAATGAGATAACAAGGAAGCAGTGATAAAAGTTTAGCTTGTGAAGCAAGGTAATTCAACAAAATCGAGTAAGTAATCAACTGAAACCATATTAATCACAAGGAGTGAAGGACTAAAGTTGAACGGAATCAAGAAATGTGATATCTATATAAGAATTCAATATATATACTAAAAGAAAAGAGATGGCGAGAATCTCAACTTGATTACACAACAAGACGTACGGCCAACAAAACATACGTGTGAATGAATCCATCTGTCTTAATAGAAGAACCCTAATTAATTAAATCTTCATGACTCTGCTTCGGACGAGTAGTAGGGATGGTCGTCATCATCTTCATCTTCAACAACAGTGCCTACCGCAGTGAGGGCAAGTAATATTTAACCACTGCATAAATACAACTATCATGCAATCTTAGGCTATACTAATTTTGGTTCTCTAATTTCAGGTTTGTCGATAAGAAATTAAGGGGTATATAGAAGAAAAAAGCTAATGCTTAAAAGAAAGAAGAAGATTGTTCACTGCTTTTTTTGTTTGTAACACAAAGGAGGGGAAAAAAAAAAACAGAAGCAGATTTGATATGTAGTTTTACCATGAAAACAAAAAACAAAAAAACAAAAATCATCTAACAGTAATCTCTCAAGTCAATTGGAGGCTGACCAGAGGCTCTGCAAAGCTTGAACTTAAACAAAACATTACCTCTAGGTCCTCTCTCTCGCCAGTACTCTTGAACCAAATATAACCCAACATACACGTAACGTTTTCCTCTCTCCCTCTGGTCCAAGTTCTTTTTGCCAACAATCACTCTCACTGGATTCTTTTCCCTCATGCTATTAGCTAAACCCAAATTACCCGTAACAAGCTTCTGGTCTTTGATTAGTTTCGGATCCTTGCTCCTCACGTTACCTCCTTGGCCAGAGTAAAACAACACATCAGAGTCAAATCTATCGATGTAACCATTATTACCTTCCGATGAAACAATGCTTGTAGCTAGTTTCAAACCTCCTCTACTTATGTAATCAATGCCACCTTGAATGTTGAAATGGAGACCAATAATGCTGAGTTCTGTTTTGAACTGAAAGTCGTCTCCAATTTTGACTCCAGGGACTGATCCAATCATTTTTTCAGCATTCACTTGCTTCCCTTCACGCACGAGGCTAGCCAATGTATCAAAAACTAACCTACCTGCGGCAGACTTTGATTCTCCACGCCACACTACTCTGTCTCGATCCAGCTCTTTATACTTAATTCTGAAAAGACGCAGTGCCTTGAGAACTTTCTCACGTGGGCTACAAGCTTTGGTAATATGGTTTTCTTGCATAACCGGGATACGTCCAAGTTGATTTGACCGCCTTTGATCATCTATGTTTTGAGTTTGTTGATGAGTCTTTGCTTTTAGTGCAGTTGCATTACTAAACATCTTCTTCTTCTTCTCTGGAGAGTTTCTTTGTTTTTGGAGAACTTTAGCTGGCATAAACTTCCTATGAATATAAGTAGATGAATGTGAAATTTTTCTTGTTTTGCTATGTGAAGCAATTAGTCTCATAGCTTCCTCTGTACTTAGAGGTTTAACTTTACTTCCATAAAATGGAAGAATCTTCCTCTTATCTGAAACCAATCTTCCCTTCCCAATATTACCATGAGTTGGTAAACTGAAGCCAGCTTTCTTCACAATCATATCAACTGATTCAACTTCTTCAAACTTATCAACAGAAAAAGCAGGCATGTTGGAACACCGGTCTCTCGCCACACAAGACATGGACAACAATGTTGGGAAACCCGTCTCAGCCACACAGACTAGATAGCTTGACTTTTCTCTTTGGATTACTTCACGAAAACCTGTGAGCAGACTACGAACTCGAACTTCTGTCTTTACTTACCTGAAATAATGGAAGAAAGGGTATATAGTTGAGTAATTTGCATTACTCAGTGAGACTTGGGGACTCACAAGTTCACCACAAACGATCTGCAACTCACGACTCTTGCAAGTCTCGGCAAATATAGTGCCTATAGCACTCACTCAGGACACATGGGAGTCCAACCACACACACATGTTCCATCAGCTTTTTGATCAGATCAAAGATCTTCACACACAGACTTGTCAGCCTTTTGATCAAATCGAAGATCTTCACACACAAGACTTGTCAGCCTTTTCAATGATCAGACCAAAGATCTTCAGACACTGACTTGTCAGCCTTTTGATCAGAACGAAGATCTTCACACACAGACTTTTCAGCCTTATTAGGAAACTGGTGTTGGGATCCGAGCGTGTCACCAACATTGAGCGTGACGTAAGGGGGGCTTCCCAACCTTACTAACACCACGCGGACCGAAACCGCCCCATGTGCCCGAAACATGGCAACTTGTATCCCCACCGGATACTCATGACACATCATGAACATGCATCTTATGCAATACTGTATTAAATCCTAGTGTTTAAACATGCATACTAGTGAATCCACACCCAAAAATATCAATACCTAATTCCAGTTTTAGATCATTTTATATGATTTAAGGTTCATTCATACAAGTAGTAGATAAACATCAAAAAATACACAAGAAATCATGTCTACTTATATATATATATATGTGTATATATATATATATATATATATATATGATATATAGTCATATTCTACGATTAAAATCGAGATGATTCATATTGCTGATCATCTCGTAGGTATGCTTTGGTTGATTAAACATAGGCTAGAGGAAGGTAAAGAATAATAAAACGCATTTGGGAAAGTGAAAAGTCCTTACCTTGGCCATTTGATTACCCGCTACGTACTCTCTTCTTCCCTTTTGGACAGATTTGATGAGCACGACGTTTCAATGATATGGAGGCTAAACTCGGTTTATATCTCAACCGAGAGAGATAAAACTAGGTAGTCTTGAGAATCTAGATTGATTTGACTATCCAAACAAACCAACTCTCGCCAGAATAGTTGGATATGTACGCTGCGTAAAAATAGCCCTTGTGAATCTTTCATAACTTGCAAACCACAAGATGGAACGTGAAGATATGTTACAGAGAGGTAGATATAAGGGTTCTGGATCTACTTACCAATTATCAGCTCGATCGTAACAATGTAAAAGCCTTAAGCTGTGGCTTTTTTTTCTTCGAGGTGCTGATCGGTGATGGCGCTCTACTCTCTCTTTAAATATAGAGATGGGAGACGCAAGGGTTTAGGGTTTTAATGGTTTAATGGATTTACAAGTCAAAACAAAAAGCCCATATCTTGTTATAAAAGGAAAATGAAATATTTGTAATCGTTTTCAAATTTTTAAATTACTATAAACAGATCAAGAAATATATGGTAAATCTACAATCGATATCTAATCGTCACTTTTTTAAAAAAAATTGCAAAATTAAATACAGTTTACTAGTTCTAAAAACAATTCTATTATTCATCTCGTTAAAAAAGTTTGATGTAAAAATTCTACCTCGATAAAAAAAACTTCTATTACTAATCCTAAAAAAAAAAATCTCAAATAAACACCAAAAATCAAATAATAAATGACAAACAATCATAAATAAGAGTTTTACTATTTTTTACATAAAAAATTACCTCGCTCACTTTGACCAACGTTTTGTACCTTTAAAAAAAAAAAAAAAATGAAGCATGTTTGACCAACTTTCTGAACCATCATCAACCTAAAAACCTTATTGCAAAATCATAGAGATTTATTTTAGTTATCTGATAAAATTATTCTCAAGTCAAAGGAGGTTGACCAGGAATTCTACAAAGCTTAAACTTGTAAACAGTCGTACCTCTAGCTTCTTTCTCTAACCAGTATTTATCAACCAAATACAATCCATCATACACATACCGCTTCCCTTTTCGATCCCAACTCTCTTCCCCACGTATCACTCTCACTTCACTCCTATGCGTCATGCTATTAGCCAAAGCTAAATTACCTTTTACCAATTTCTGATCTTCAGTAATCTTTCCCCTGCTTATAACGTTTCCTCCTTCACCTGTATAAACCACCACATCAGAATCAATCTTGTCATTGTAGCCATATCCTTTTGAGGCAACGATGCTTGTCGCAAGCTTAACATCTCCGATCTTCATATAGTCGATCCCACACATCGTCTTGAAATGAAGCCCGATAAGACGAAGTTCGGTTTTGTACTGAAACTCATCTCCAACTTGGATTCCAGGGACTTGTCCGATTCTCTTCTCTGTGTTCACTTGTTTCCCCATTTTCTCTAAGACAGCTTGTGTTTTGATGTCTATCCTAGCTGTTGCCTCGAATAGATCTCCACCTCGTCTTGCTTGCTTATCACGATCCAACTGTTTGAAAACATCTTTGAAAACACGCAAGACCTCAAGCACTTTCTCACGGGGATCATGTTGATGATCAGGGTTTCTAAACGCTGCTTCTTGTTTAGAACAAGCTCCTTTAGCTTTAAGAAGAGCTGCAACGACACGATCCTGATAAGAGCTTCTAAAAGGTGGCTCTTGTTTGAAGCAGATTCCTTTAGGTCTAGGAGCTGCAACGACGTGATCGTGAAACTCTGGCTCTTGTTTGAGACGAAGTACATCACCATTTCTTGGATTCTTGTTTGATCTCTGAGGAGGAAGATAAAACGGAGCAGCATTGAAGTGAGTTCCACAGCCAAGTGGGTAATCTCGAATGGCGTAGACAAATTCTCGCTTATGAGAACGATCCATCTTCCTGTGGAAACATTGCATAAGTGCAGAAACTCAATTTCTTATGTTATCGATCGATAATCAGTTCGATGGTTTCAATTTCTACAAAATCAAGTAATCAACACAAAAATAAGAAACTTTAACAACCGGAATCGTCTTTTATTAAAATTTCTCAGGTTACAAAATTCCAAGAGAGAGCTACGGAAACTATATTAACACATATAATCTAATTTGTGGTACTCGATTTTCTAGGAATGTTTTTCTCCGATCGTGAACAGAGATCGTATGAAACAGTGTGGTGAATAATATATGAATGTGGCGTTGAGATGAAGAGTGAATCGATTTAAGTCGAAACGATTTTCGTGTTTGAGATCATTGAGAGTGAGAAGAAACACGAACCTGGATAATCGTTCTCTTTGAGCTTCACAGATGGGGGGAAAATCAGTAAACACGATCCACGAAAAATCGATTACCAGAGAGAATCGCGAAGAGTAAATGACTAATCGATCTTCTTCTTCTTCTACCTCGCGTAAGTCTTCTCTCCGATTCCCACGAAACTAACAGTCACCGGTAAAAACAATCTGGTAGAGTGTTGAAGAGAATTAGTGGAGAAGACGGTGAGTATCGACGAAATTCATAAAAACGAAACAAGGAATCCAAAAATGTATAACCAGAGAGAATCGCCAAGACTAAACCAAAGATCGATCATCTTCGTCTTCTACCTCGCGTGCTTTTATTCTCCGGCTCACGCGAAACTAACAGTCACCGGAATTTTTTTCCTGGTAAAGTGTTGATGAAAAGAATTAGTGGAGAGTTTGACTGTTTTGAGTAATTAATTTTTCTCTAATTTATAAAAAAAATAAAGTTCATATACAAACCCGTTTGTTAGTATGGGCCCCACAACGTTAACCAATTAAGGTTCGATGAAAGTAAAGAAAACAGTAATTTTAAATTAGAAAGTGTAACATTTGATAAAAGTTTGTTTTCACGATGCCAGGTTTTAATAAAATAGATTACCAAAATTTCATTTCGTACGTCTAATTAACACATACAAGAGGTACTTTTTCTGAATTTTCTTTTTACACGTAAAACAAAACTCTAAATAAGTTGCTTAATATTTATTTTTATAAAAAAAACCCGTGTAAAATATCAAAATGATTTTGTATAAGATGAGAGCACAAAACTGAACTTTTTGAGAAAAGGTTTTCTACTAAAAAGAACTTTCTTGTTCTTCGAGTTTAACAAGAACAAAAAGACAGTATATGTATATATATATATATATATATATGATCACCAAAAAGAGCTCATACATAAAAATCCTTCTTCTTTTTTTATATCTGCAAGACTGCAATTCCTAATCTCATTTGACCTCATTTTCTCAGAAGAGCCTAAATTGTAAAAGAGTTTTCTCTTCAATCATTAGAGATAGAGAGATATCTTTATAAAGTCAGTCTTTTTTAAGCCTTTGTTTTGAGAAACACCAATGAGTTTGAGAAACTTTTTCTTCTATATCATATCATGTGAAGAAGCTCTGCTTGAGGGAATGATCCATTCGGCGGAACATCAAGAAGAAGATCTTGGTCAGAAATATCGTTCTCTTCATAGCTAAACATCATAGAGCAAGCTTTGCTCATAGGGTTAAAGGAAGAGACACTGTTCTCTAAAAACTCTTCGGTTTCCATGAGGTTTGATCTAATCTTCATCACGTCTTTGGGGCTCCTCATCACAACCCTTTTCTCTGGAGAATGACAAAACTCAAAAAAAAAATCAGAAACGGACTGAGTTTATTGCAGAAAGTTTATGGAATTGACATGATTCAAGAATCTTGAGTAACCTGAGAAGTTTTGGTTTAAGCTTTCACAAGGTCTTTCAATGGTAACAAGACTATGATTATTCGATAGATTCGGGTTTGAGACCCTTGATGTTGCAGTAACAGAGTCTTCAATCCCTTTTCTCTGTTCCTGAAGCAAAGGTTTAAGTGAACAAAAGCCAAGTATAGAAACTATTTGTGTCAAGAATAGTTTATGTTGAAAACCTTGAGCAGGTCATAGCTTTCCAACAAATGTGATTTGTTAGGATCGGATAGAGCAAGCTTTGCAAGTGTCTTGATGTCTTCAAGTTTTGATCTAGAGGAAGAAGATGAAGATGAAGATGTCTCAAAAACACCATCTGCCACAAGTCGCTGAAACAAGGAGAAGTTCTCTTGGAATTGAGAACTCTCAAACATGCTTCTGAGGCTGGCAAAACGAGAAAACAATAACTGTAAGAACTCGAAGTAGCCGCTTAAAAAACCTGTTAATACTGAAGTTGCATTGAGTTAAAACCTATCAGGAAGATCAACAGAGTCAACTTGAGGAAGTAATTTCATCAGTTTTTGCTGTTCTTCCTCTGTGAATTTTTCCATGAACTCATCAAAGTTGAAAACATCCTGCAAACAGTTTCCATCGTAAGGCATTCATATCGTTTCTGAGGAAACAACATAGTTGGGAGTTGCCAAATGAATCTACCTTCAAATCTATGTTACAGAGTGATAAACTATGTCTTCCCAAGGCTTGAGATTTGGTCCTGCAACCAAAACATCATTGATACTAAATCAGATTCTTCGCAAGGCAATCTTAGCCTTTCTTGTCTAGAAGGCTTTCAAAAGTTATCTACCTCTTGAACAGCTCCTGCTTTATAGCTTTTCCACCAAATTTAACAGAATGCATTGATGAGGACTTGCTGCTCTCAGCCAAGAGTGAGCTAGCTTCAGATTCCTCTTCTCGAGAGTGAGGATCTCTCATAAGAACACTCCCATGTCCTATCACCATTGGTGATTCGTTCTCAAAAAGCAAATCTTCCTCAGAAGAACCAGAGAGACAAGAAGATTGTTGTTCTTGTAGAATACTGTAGAGATCCTTTGTGAGCTTCTCAACAGAAGAAGCCGCCTTTGGACGCCCCACGCATGTCCTCCTCTTGCAAGGAAAAGTCGTTTCCCACGCATTAGATTGATCACAGCTCTCGGAGTTCGATACAACCGATCCTGAACTCGATCTATTGCTAGCTTCTTCTTCTAAAGCCTTCATCTTGAAACCGTTGTTGAATTCCAAGTTAGCTCTTTTAATAGTGAAATTTTCTTGATATAATTTCCTCTTTGGAATCTTTTTGTTCACAGACATTCCCTTGATCATTATCCTTTGAGCTCTGTGATCCTCAATCTCAATCTCATCACCTTCAGCACGAGCATGAAGCGGTGTGTAGTTTACTAATGTTCCCTTCGTTCTCCATCTCGAACCACACGCATTGCACAGTACCGGCTTCTCTGGTGGCCCGTTTCGCCATAGTGGTGTACCTGTTTACAAACAAATGTCACAAATTATAGACATTTCATAAGAAGATTAGAGCAATGATCTCTCAAGATCGAACATCATGTTAGCTCTTCAATGTCAATCAGAGTTAGATTTGAGTTTGGATTCAACACAACTGAGCATTTTAAAAACAAACTAAAGATCTAAACTTGCCAAACTTTATTGACTTCACTACACATTACAGAACATTCAAAGCTCAATAAGAGTGATCAGAACAGCAAAGGACCCACAACGTGTGCTTAAGGTCATAAACACAGACACAACCAAATCATTTCATATTGATCAATGTTTGTTCATGTTGCATTATCAACTGAAGCAGTTCTTCGATAGATTATTAAACAACTAGTAATTAGCTCAAACTTTGGACACAGTTTTCTCAAAAATCAAATCTAAATTTTGGAGAAAACAAGAACTCACTTGTAACTCCACAGTGATAGCAAGGCCCTTGCTTTCCCATCTTTTCCTTTTCCCTCTTTTTTCAAAAATTAATATATATAATTTCACAAGAATAAGAGACTCTGAGAAACTGAGTTTATGATTATTGGTTTTGTATATTATTGAGCTATACAAAAACTGGATATTGAGAAGCTTCTCTGCGAAGAAAAACCCAGAAAAGGTTTTTTTTCCTGCAGAAAAACTAATAGAAGCCAATAATAAAAACCCCACAAACAAGAGTGAAAAAAAACTTCTTCTGAGAAAATTCAAGAAAGTAAAAGTCCGAGGAAAATAAGAACAACCCAGAAAATTTAGAAACCGAAACAACGGAAGAGAAAAATTCAGAGATTTTTTTTTTCCTTTCGGTTCATTGAGCAAATCAGTCTAATACAATCCAATATAAAAGAGAGAGAGAGAGAGAGAGAGAGAGAGAGAGAGAGAGAGAGAGAGAGAGGAATCTAACAAATGGCTGTGAAAAAGGGAAAGAGAGAGAAAGTGGTGAGGTTAGAGAGAGAGAGAGAGTGTTTGTGTATGTAAAATCAAAAATGGCTCTTTTGTATAGCTATGAAGTTAATGTTTCAGCTTCCTCCTCTCCTTACTTAGCTTTTTATATTATTAAGTTTTTATTAGAACTTTTAATTGTATACTTACTTTGAGATTTTTCATTTACTTAGTTACTTAAATGGATATTTTCATTTGATTTACACTTACAGTGTGTAAATTGGTTACCTTAGAACGTTTGGTCCATATATATCAAACATGGTTAAATATTAAATTATAAATTGAATGACACATAACAATGAACTAATTTCAGCGCTTCTTTCTAATTGTGTGTTAAAGGCAGCAAACGCCATGAACAGAATATATATATTCAAGCTTTTAAAAATATATATAATTATAAGTGATCTCATCCCATACTTTATTAAAAATATTTAATGGTTAAAGTTTTAAATAATAAATGAAAAATGACATATAACATTAACTAATTTTAGTTATTGGTTTGAATGTATTTCTTTGCGTCTAAAACGCACCAAACGCCATGAATGGAATATATACAGATTTGAAGCATTTCTTTACCAAAAAAAAAGATAATAATAATTATAGGTTTAATCTCAATAATGTATAGAAACCTCTAATGGTTAGAAAGTGACGATGAGGGGCTGGAGGAATATCATTGCTTGTGCCTCATGGTTCCTTCTTGTTGACTATAGACTTTTCTCCTTGTTTGTTTTTTCCTTTTATATTCCAACGAACATAATTAATATTTAATAATGACAACAATAATTACAGTCATAAGAAAATATTAGCTAAAAAAAATTAATGATAAGATAATGGACTATAGTAGAATCTTGATTGAAAAAAAATACAAATTACTGAAATTTAAATTTCACTAATTAAAATTCCTTTATACAGGTAAATATGTTTATTACAGTTAAATATTTACAACGTTATACTGAAAGCTAAATTATTAATTCTCTGTTAACTACAAATTAAACTAAGATTTCTTCTATTGCTCAATCTCATTTCAGTGATATACAATAAGTAAGTAGATTTAATCACAAATAACTTTTCCTTTATAAAATGTAACGATTCAAGTGTTGAACCAAGAAAGAAACAGTTTTTTAAAGAAGGCCAAGAAGGAAAGATGAAATAAACCATATATTTTGTTTCACTTTTACATATAAAATTGTAGATGTTGATGTAAATAATTGATTGTCCTTTTGATAAAGATTAGACTAGGTTATAAGATTAGGTTAAGTATTGTTAAGTATGTGATGGCATGACGTTTGGTAAATGAATATTTACATTTATTAATGGATTCTGAAATATCACAAACAAAATAAAATAAAATAAAATGAAAGGTTTTGTGAAGTCACCGGCCGTAATGACGACGATCATGGACACAACTCTCTTCTGCACCGTTTGATTTGGTTAAAGTATTTGTAATGATGGGTCCCACTTCTTTCCTTTCGTGAATGTGATTAGTGAACTAATTTATGTACATTACTCCGTGTCTACGCGTATTATACTATTCCCACTAAAGTTAACTATAGAGATAATTTTTTAAATTAAATATGCAATCATCCATGATCAAGATCCACATAATTTTGAGGTTTGGTGAAATTATAACATGCTAGGATAAAGATGTATCGAAAATTAGGTTTTTCATTTCGAGGAAAAAGCAAATTGTGGAAAACGTAACTCCAAAAATAATGTGGAGTCTCAATCAAATAATAGTAGTTTCCCAAGAGAGGTGTATAGGGAAACAATATAATTATTTAAGTACAACGTCAAATAATTCTGCAATCGCAATACAAAATTAAAAATTATATATCGTGTTGAAGTTACAGCGTAAAAACGTAAACGAGACGGTAAAAAACTCGTAAACCTAATTGGACTGCTTGCTAATCAATTTACGCAAATTTTGATGGAATAATGTAGTGACCATTAGAACTCGGACGGTGGAGATGAGGCGATGGAACTAATGGATGAGATAAGGTTAAAAATACAAAAGGTAATGCACGAGTAGTGCTTAAATAAAAACAAAGAATACCAAATGATGATCTGCTTACAATTCACATTCATGCTAATAAAAACACAACCACTACAGCACAAAATGACAAACAATTACATAAAAAAATTATTTAGGTCCAAGCTCTTTAATTCTTTTTATCCGAATAATGTTTTCCTTGGAAAAAAAAAAGGAATTTCTCTATATTGTTTTGGTAACCACAGTGATTTTGGGTATCACGAATAATGTTTATAGTCCTGTTCCTGTAAATGAAAATTCCCCGTTTGAACCATACTTACTCCCTTACACAAATCAAGGAATCATGTTCTGGGATTTTCGCTTTCTTACTTTTTGTTCCTAGTAGTCTACTGGGAATTAATTTAAGCCAAGCAAAAAATAAACAATATTTTCACCTAGGACATGACTACGAAAAGCTTAAGAATTGGAAAATAACAAAACCAAGTCCAAAAACGACTTTTGGCCATGTACAGCATGAGACTAATATCTGTGAAGAAGATAAATAAAGAATTTTCTATTTAATAGTGGAAGTTTTTGGCCGAATTCAACATTTGAATAAAACAGAACATTCTTGCAATTTAAACTTTAAAGCATTACTGTGAGTCTATGACCAGTGGCGGAGCCACATGCATTAGCATGGTCATTCGCCCCCAATTTTCAAAACTTAGTGTAATTTAGTAGTGTTCTATTAATGCCCTTATTTATTAAATTATTTATATTTTTATATGCTTCCAGTCAAAGAAATTTCTGGCTCCGCCACTGTCTATGACCAATGGAAAGTAACAAAGCGGCAAACTCATAAATTCTGAGCCACATTAGCATGGACATGTAAACCACCCACTTATCACTGAGAATGATAATCATGAAATTATTTCCATGGGCTTGTATGATCTTCATATCTTTAGGGGTATGTATGTTATCAGTGGAGGAATTCATGTTTTGTTATCGAGTGCGAAATGTTCCAAAGTCTCGCCATCCCCTATTTTGGTTTTTCAGGAAATTGCTTAGGTAAGGAACGTGTGGTTTTTAAAAGAAACTATCCTTATGAGGAAAGGGATGTGTGTCGTTTTCGTTCTCACTTAGGAAACAAAGTTACGTCTTGCATCAACCGAGAAACATTAGGAGGATCTCAGATCAACCATAATGACCGTTTTAGAGTTAATATTAAGCCAGTTTTTAGATACAACTCTAATTTGCTGACAAAAATCTAAACTGCCCCGTAAAGGATCTTGATTCAAGGGTTTACTCTTTCTCTGTAATTATTCTTAGCTTCAACGCGAATAGAACAGTAGAACCAAAACTTTAAACATCCTCAGGATATTGAAAAGAACAACGAAAGCGCCATTTACAATCTGAAGCCAATTCTTATGCGATAAGAGGAACAAGCAATTCACGTAACATTTGTTGTTGACAACAGTGTGTCCTAACAAGTAAAAAAAAACCATAGCTTTCATGTGTTTATAAGATTCACTCATCCAGCTTTCTTGTCACTCTGAAGTCTTAGTTTCTCCTTTTCTTCTTCTTCTCTTCTTTATCTGCCGAGTTCTTCAACTGTACAGCAAAAACACTCATCAGTGGAGAGGTTTATTAACGGAGAAAACACCATTACTTAAGTTTCAGCGACAAATGAACTTACCATTATGATGAGAATACGAACAAACACAGCTACAAAATCAGTGAAAAGGGTCAACGCGTGTTTCACGTAGTCCATGTCACCAAGATGCGCCTTCTCTATAATCTCTTGTGTGTCCACCACCATGTATCCCACAAAGATCAAGAGTCCGAAGTAGAGCTGCACTCAAAAGATATTTCACAACAGCGATGAGAAGTCTGAGAAAGAAAGATGAACCACAAAAAAAACCACATCTTTACACACGAGAGACATTCTGTTTAGTACCTCAAATTTAAAGATAGATGCAGAGCCACCGAAGATCGAAGAGGCAAACTGAAGCCACATTAGCATGGACAAGCCAGATGAAAGCAGTCCTCCGAGGTAGAGATACTCTCTGCGTCTTGCAAGCATCGCTGCTGCTGAGAAACAGACAAATGCTATTGCAGTTCCGACAAACGCAGTGATCAAGATGCTGAAGTAACAAACAAAAATAGAAAGATAATAACTTGTCAGCTCTTAGAGAAGTCTTAAGCACAAAACTTTAACATGAACATTTTGTCAATAACAACAACAACGCACCTTGGGTCAACATCAACTGCTACTTTAATCAATGGGCCAACTGATGCGCCTTCAAGAACGGCAGAGAGAAACAGTAGTGAAAGCCTCTTTTGCTGCAACAAAAGGAACGACAATGTCTAAGGAAAACAAGACTATACAACAAGGAGCACAAAAACTTAAGAAAAGAGGTAAGTTAAACCCGCGTACTTGTTCATAAGGAGGACATGAAAGCAGCCAAACCATGCTTCCAATGCATCCAATTGTTGTGAGAATACCACCGATGTTCCAGAGCACGTGGAGATAAGCTCCAAAGGCAGACGCAACGAGTGCACAGCACAAGGTTAGGTAAACCTATAAATACCACCAGAAGCATAAGAAACCAAAGAAGATTTGCTATACTTAAACATGGATCATGATATACGAACAAGACGATCTTTGTTAGTTAAAGCATTACAAGCAGAGCAAAGTAATAACGACAATTATAGTAAGTTTGATATGGACCAACTAATTCCCTCTCATCAGAGCACTTTGATCATCCACAGTAACTAAAACGACGCAAATTGGAAAACCTAGAAACTTATGAGAAGTTGCAAGCGCAACGTTTCGTTCAATAATACGTAGTCGGGAACCAATTCCATGAAAATTGAGATGAAATAGAGACAACCAGAGCGATCAAAACCACGAAAACGAAATAAAAACTCCATCAATCGAATCGCAATCGTCTCTAATCAAGAAACAACGATCTATGACGAGGAGGAGGACTTACTCGCTTAAGATGATTCTGGACGGCCGGAGAAATCTGACGGAGGTTCTTGAGAGAGTCATAACTCCAGCTTCTGCTACCAGGTTGAGAATCGAAGAAGGAAGAGAACGCATCCATGATTTGTTTTCTTCTGTTGTTTGAGAGAGAGAATATTGAAAAAAAAAAAGAGTACAATCACGAGATAATGAAAATATTGCTGAAAAAGAGAAGACTTTCGTTATTTATAGGGCCACAAGATTCGCGATAATTTGACAATAACGCCCTTGCTGAGCATTTATTAAATTACCCTTCCCTACACGTGTAGGGGCATCAACAGGGGAAAAGGGCAGTTCCGGAAAGTTCTTGAAACATTGAGGTCGTCTCGCTGCGTTGAAACTTTGCCGCGAAGCAAATCTGATACATCTGCTTCGTCAGTGAACCAATTAGAGCCATCCACGTGGAATTTCTGTTATTCTTTGGATCGCATAAGTTTGCGAAATTTGCAAATACTTTTTTCTCGAATCGCAATGCCACGTCAAGACTTTTCAAGCTTACAAATTATTCTATTTCAATGTTATGATATTTATTATTTGGATAACACTTTTTGGAGAAGACAACTTCCTCATCAATCCAAAACGCACGATAGCTAATATAAAAAAAAAAAAAAACGACGAAGAAAAAAAAAAAAAAAAAAAACGACGAAGACTTGCTCAAATCAAGTCAAATCGAGAAAATTCGTAACAAAAATCATTGTTTTGAATATTTTGATTTATAATAATAAAAAAAAAGAATATTTTGATTTATGTATGATTTCTGCTTTTCTTTGGGCTGAAGGCTAAAATGAAATGGGCTTCTATTTATTTCTAAAGCCCACTAATAGAATTAAAACGTTACGTAGTTTCCTAAAATGAAGGAAGAAAACGACATACGTTCCATTCTATAAACGATAAAATCTCTTTCGCTTCCCTCGAAGCTCATTTCAAACCACACATTCATACCATCTCTGGAAAAACTGAGCAGAGGAGAGAGAGAGCGAGCAACAAATGTCCATATCAATGGCGTTATTCTCCCCGCCGATCTCATCTTCACTTCAGAACCCTAATCTCATCCCCAAGATCTCTGTTTCTCTCCTCTCCACCAAGCGTTTCTCTCTCGTCTCCGTCACTCGAGCCTCCTCCTCCGACAATGGTTCGACCACACCCGCGTCGGCTTCAGTCTCTGCAACCACCGTGGAGATTCCGAAGCCTGCGTCGGTGGCTGTAGAGGAGGTTCCGGTAAAATCTCCGGCGGAAAGCTCTTCCGCCTCTAAAAACGGCGCCGTAGAAGGTGAAGAGATTGATCTGACCACTACGACGGAAATCAAATTCCAGGATGCGAAGTGGGTTAATGGAACTTGGGATCTGAAACAGTTCGAGAAGGAGGGGAAAACTGACTGGGATTCTGTAATCGTTGCTGGTTAGATTCTTTAAACTCGAATTTTGTTTCATTTCTTCAATGTTGTTATCGTTTATGGAAATGTGTTGTTTCAATTGACAATGTTCAAGAAACAAGTAGAAATCAATCAAAAGTTCTTTTGTTAGATCTTGTGAGAATTTGAAAATTTGCTGAATTTGGAATGATTGTAGATATGATAACCAATTAGTGTTTTTGGATATACAGAAATCTTTGTATTTTGGAATGACTTTAGACATGGTAGAAACAATTGTTGAATTTTGAATAAGCAAAGACATGATAATGATATAGGTTGAGAAACCATAATCAACTTACGAATGTCATAAACCTATGAAGAAATCTTTGGATACATATGCCCTGTCACTAGGAAGCTTCTGCTTCGGTTTCTTTATAGTGTATAAGAAGGTGAGTGATTATTTGTGTAATGTGCTGATTCTGTATTTACAGAGGCAAAGAGGAGAAAATGGCTTGAAGATAACCCAGAAACAACTACTAACGAAGAGCCTGTACTCTTTGATACCTCGATTATTCCATGGTGGGCATGGATGAAGAGATACCATCTACCCGAAGCTGAACTCCTCAATGGTGATTTTCCAAAACACTAACATGCTAAAGATCCAAATCATGTGTACTTTGCAGCTAAACATGATCTGAAGTTTTTCTTGGTGGGTTTATCTGGCAGGTCGTGCTGCGATGATAGGGTTCTTCATGGCTTACTTTGTTGATAGCCTTACCGGAGTAGGACTAGTCGACCAAATGGGAAATTTCTTCTGCAAAACACTCTTGTTTGTGGCTGTAGCCGGAGTTCTTTTCATCCGCAAGAACGAAGATTTAGACAAACTCAAGGGTCTGTTCGAAGAGACGACGTTATATGACAAGCAATGGCAAGCGGCATGGAAAGAGCCTGATTCATCAACGGTTTCTTCAAAGAAATGAATAAACTTTCTCGCTTTTGTTTCCTTTTGTTATGTGATGTTTGTGATCTTGTATTACTGATCTTGAGATTGTAATATTTATGGCTTTAAAAATCTCTCTATCAAAGTAGTTCCAAAGAAATTTTAAAATGTAGGACGGTCCGTGACTTGTAAACCAGATCTCGTCCATTGACTCTTGGATAACAAAAAAAATCACCAATTATTTAGCTACTAGCATGGGTTCTTGCCCTGTGGATAGAGGGCGCCATACGTAGAGAATACTAGAGATAAGTAAATAATTAATTTTTAAATAGTGATACGGTTTTAATTAGAAGCGAAAATAAGGTTTATAATTTGGTTTCTTTTTGTTTTTTTTCTAGGTTGTGACTCTACCAATTTTATAAAAAATGAAACTATAAGAAAAAATAGTGACAGTAATTCGGTTTGGTGTAGAGTTTCTTTTAGCAATTTGAATGGATTCTGGTTTTTGTCTCAAACTTTCATCATAAGACTATAGTCTCTACTTCGAACAAAAAAAGAAAGACTATAGTCTCTACTTTTCCAATTTACCTCAATTACTAAAGTGGCCAATTTTGCTAAAATGTGATGAAATGTTCAGTTCGACGAGTAACTCAACTAAAGCGGACCAAATGTGAGATATCAGAGTCTTAACATGAATTCTTAAGCTTTTATCTATATATATTTTTTTAAAGAAGATCGTTTTGTGCCTTTCACTTCAATGATAAATTTTTACTTAAAAAATGTGCGATGATGGCAAATAAAATATTTCCAGTTATTAAGTGATGTCTGTACAGTTCAAAGTACCATTATGCTATCTAACTACTTAAGTGGCTCAATAAAGATGCTTTGGTTTGTTTAAGGTCAACGAGTTTACTTGAGCTCTAAGAAACCTTGGATGGAAAGCAAATGATTAGAAAGTTTACAAAGGACAACCTTACACAACTTGGTGAAGGCTGATTCAGCCATGAAGGAAGTGGAAAATTCGAGAAAAGAAGGCTACGAAGGACGGTGCACGATCCCGGCGCTGCCCAAAACAGAGAAAAAATATTTGAGACCATTTCTGTTTATATTTAGAAAAATGGTTTTGCATTGTAGCATACAGTTTATAATGGGTTCTACTGTTAACTGAATTTGCAAAATAATTTCTGGTAATATAAAACTTTATTACAAAAAAAAAATCTGTTTACACTTTCATGTAACTGGTGGATAACTCTCGATCGTTCGATTGGAGCATTTTAATGGACGAACGAGAAGCGTCTAACTATGTTCAATCCGGTTAATTTTTTTTGTCAATGTTGAAAACCAGACCGGATATGGATTATAGACTTTCAACAACATCCTAGAGAAATCTATAATTTTTGCTGTTAAGTTTGTTTAACATTGTTAAAAGTCTATAATTTTGTAGCTAACAAACAAAATCTCCACAAAAGGATAAGAAAGGTTTCTAGATGTACTACTGCATCCAATATACACTAATTTTATCAGAGACAAGGATTCCAGTATCAAATTTAATAACATGCATAATCTGATCATGTCTTATGGATATAGATAATGCTAATCCATTTTCTTATAATAGACCGATATTATATAATTAATTTATATTATTGGATTTTTGGATGGTGTATGCGTACGTGGTTAGTGACCGAAATATATTCTAATTCTTCGTTTCTCCCAAAAGGTATATGACCCATGAATCTTGAATATACTGTACATACCGCAAGTCCTCTTCCTTCATAGTAATGAATATATCTATTACGAGATATTGATACTATGGGATATGTATTGACATCAGTATTGATTATGAAAACGAAGTAACCAAATTGAAAATAATATTATTAGCTATACAAAAAATGTGGTAATATTCTATTGAATACGAAGAATCTTGAATCTGCAACTATAAATAAATAGTATTTCTTCACAGCC